TTATGGATCATATGTAGTACTTTAAACCTCTTTTGTAGAGATTAGTATTGGTAACGTTTTACCTTTGTACATTCCAAATCTTAATTTACAAAAATGCAGCACTGAAAGCTGAAACACATAGAGATTCGCAAAAGACGGTCTGACTTCAACAGGTAGTTTCGAATATAAATTGCATTTTGAAAAGCTTGTGAACTTCTAGACTCGATACTAGTATCAATAACGTATTAGCAAATGGCTGTTGTAAAATTATTTATACTACTTTATGAAACTCCGAATTTTTAGGTCAATTTTGAATCATGTAAATAATTAACGTAAAAATAGTTAGACTGATGATGAGTTTAATACATTGTGAAACTGTGATTTTTTATTTGCAATGACAATAAAGTTTCTGATTCTAATGTGTTTTTATTTTTGTACCTTTTGATAAATTTATCATGCGCAGTATTCGTTTCGACTCAATAACAAAAGGTAATCATTTTATGTTTAGACGCAGGCCTATGTAGATCATAGACATCGAATCTTGAATAAAAAGAAACACCTCATTGAAATAACTGTCAAGAGCTTTCAGTAGCCAAAGTTAGGAATTAAACCTTTGCAGTTTTACCTTTTGATATTCATTTACCAATATATTACCATTCACTTGATATTACTTTAAACCATTTATTCAATTTTATGCAACAAAATAACGTAATTTTAGTACAGCTTGTAAACATTAGGCCTAGTATTCAAACAAATGGATTATGTGACCATTATCAACAAGGTATATATTTCAATGGTACTAGAAAGTATTGCGTGATATTTAAAATGCCATTTTAATTTCAGTGGAAAAACATTTTCACTTACAATATTACAATTTATTCGTACTGTGCTGACAAAACATGTGAACTCAAGGTAGATACTACTTTATATTGCAATACTGCTCACAAAATGTGAAGAGGAATCTACAAGGTAGAATGAAAAGACGAGGAAATAAATCGCTCTCTGGAAAAGCCGATATTTAGTGATAAATCAAACGCTCCTTTAGGCCTAGAGTATACGGCTTGTCATTCTACCTTTATTGATATGCTTTGGTAACAAAGTGTGGGTTATTGATAGGTTTTAGTAATACGACCAGTAATAATGTTATAGATGTTTAGTTATTCAAGCTAGTAATTTATTTGACGCGTTAGTCAATAATATACTATGTGATATACAAAACTACATAGTGTATTATGTTTACTTATACTATGTAATAATGGGAGCTGTAGTGACATACTAGATAATATGTTTGATAATAGAAGCTGTGACAATTTGACCTATATTATTTAGATGTGCAAATGTGACACTGATCATAATATGATTTGATAATACAATATGTAGAGGTGATATTGATAAATTTTGTTCAAGCTCTGAAAATGTTGATCTATTCTAAGAATTCAAATACATTAACTTAAGACCTGTAAAAATATATTTATGTTATAAGTTTTGGTAATAGAAACCATAATGATGTTGTGTTGATGAGGTTTGTGTAAATATTTATACAATTAGGTTATACTTTACTTTTACATTCAATATCAGAGATTTTTTAGTACGAAGTAGTTTTTTTCATTGCAAAGAAGACTCTACCCACACAGATGGACAGTCTTTCTGGTGATAATGGCTATGATATTGTTTTGTTTACAGCTACTGTACAATATTTTTGTTCTTGTATTCATTTTAGATAATAAGTTACCTTATCTTCTCGTCTATATAATATTTTAAAACATTTGACATAAACTTTGTCAAAAAGTTTAAATCAATATTCTTATCTTTATTTAAGAACTGTACGGTAATTACTGGAAACATTTAAATTTTTTCTTTAATACATGATCTGGCAACTTAATTGATATATTATTGTACAGATTATTTCTATAGTACTAAAATTATGTATTACTACAAGAGTTGACGTTGTATTGATTTTATTTCTCTTTCTATGTGTTTTAGTGATTCCATAGTTTCTTTGTGTATGCTAGGATAGACAAAGATTGATTCACTTTTTTTGGAAAGGTTCTAATGCACTACAAACATTAGATTTTACCATCGAAGTTTTGGTAGTTTGAATAAAATTGACTCTATTGCAAAAATCGGAAACACAGCCAGAAGATATATATTAAATGATATATTTACCCATATAATTAATTTATATCAAACATGCAACAAAGTCACACCTCAATGTTTTACAGTGCGACATAACCTTAATTAAAGTGAAGCATGACAAACAAGCTCGCTAATTAGTTTACGGTAAATATATGGCTGGGTATCTATTGGTAATCATTGGCGTTTGTAGTGATTAATTGGATACTATTATTGTACAAGCCTGGATCAGTTTACAAACAAACTGTTAGTGATACATCACTACACGATGACAAATGTTAGGCTGAATGCAAACAAACCTAATTAAATTTATTTGATATCGAATTCATGAAACATATTTAAAATAAATATTTTTCTTGAGTTTTTGTGTAATTAAATTTAAATATTTTCCCTCAAAACCTCATCCCCTACCTCAATCTTGCAATATGTACTTTTTGAAATTGTTTAATCGTTTGAAATTTTTTTTACCTACTCGCTGATAAAAAATAAAATCTTCTAACTATAAATTTATCTCCTAATTTTATATGTTCTTTGTATTTATACACGCCGTTGGCTTTTTGATAGAAGATGGTTCAAACGTCGATCCTGTTTCTTGTTATCGTTGACTGTTTTTTAATTAACACCATTATTGATATTTTAGTGATACAACTCAGACTATTTCTCTAAATTAATGATTTCTGGGTCCGAATTCAATCTCACTTGTAATCAAACTTGTAGAGAGAACAAGTAAAATTGTAATCATTGATTCTAACTTCCACTAATCAGTTGTTCAGACCAATTAAATTTTTGAGTGGTGCAATTATTGTTGGGTACAATGTTTCAAAACCACTGTCAGTGGCCATGAGAGGTTATAAACGAAAACACCTCTCTTTGAAGTTATGAGTAGTGATTTTTAGTATTTAAAACACTTTCGTAGGTAAAGTAGTGTGCGCAACTCGCGTAAATAGTTCGACACGAGTAGAAAATTTAAGGTATAAGCTAAACTACTTTTACACTACTACTATACACCATTATCATACAGTGCCAACGAAGATAATATTTTGTTTTCCAATGCACAAACTGTTTCGTTGTTTTATTTCCAATTATCACCCTGTATGATTATTAGTAACAAGAAAAGCCTATGAAAACCTTATGTGAAATACTGCCTACACTTTTGTGTGAGTTAAGTTTTAATAAGTTTTAAACTAAATAAGTATTCGAACCATATGAATTCAAATAAGATACCTCGAAGTACCTCGCAAGACATGAAGATGGTATTTTCTCAAGCGTGATGTAGAAGATACGTAATGAGCTCGTAAGTTGAGAGACGTTTGATTTACTTCAAAGTATCGCCTTTTTGCAGCGTGATTTATAAACTTTCCAACTCTTCGAGATTATGTTTTCTGTAGCTTGTTTTCATTTACATTTTATAATAGTAGTTAAAACTTGGTTATACCTATTTAATAAATTTAATCCATATCAATCATCTAAGTACTATAAGAAAAGGTTTAGGTGTTTCATTGAAATTTATCGTTATCATTTTTCAAGAGCATTTTGGGTGAAATGAATTATTATTATGTTGAGATGGGGACGCTAGATCCGTATTTTTATCCAAATGGGTGTAGACTGAAGTGAAATGCCTTGTGTAGCTTTGTTACTGATAAGATCAGCTGATTCATTTGCCAGAATTGATAAGTACATACATTATTCAACCCCTTTCTTCATTTATCATCATCATGTATCACTTGGCAACAATTTGACGATTTGACGATATGTGGTGTCCGTGAGATTCTATTCACTAGAGTGTTCTATTCACTACATTTTATCATAAAGATATACAGGCAATATTAGATTAGGTTATATCGGATTTACTAGTCATTGGTTAGGCTTAGACAAGGATATTCAGGCATAAAACAAACGTTTAAGAATATTTGTATAGTACATACATAAATAACACATTTGTAATGTTAAGCTACCATCAGATTGTTGATTATGTTAATGGATTACCACTAATCAGGGCAATGCGGTCAACCAAACTTGATTGGCACATAGCACTATTGATTAATTGATGCGTTGCTAATAATGTACCACTGTAATACACAAGTCGGCAGAAATTTTAATTTTGCATTTGTTCAACGTATAAATGTATAATTATAACCAATATATGCGGATATAATATGTTATGGGCTTTAGGGCTTTCTAAATTAGTAGAATGTTGCACTTTTGATCATGAGAAAATAAAACAACAATTTTATTTGCTTTTAATTGTACTCTATTTCCCTTGATCAAGGGTGTTTAGTAAATTATAAGGCAGAAGTAAGTCAGATTTGCCCCATTTCACAAATAAAAATCGTAAAATTCACAGCTATTTCTTACTTGATCTGTTTGATCATTCGATATGGAATTAAAAATTCTAAATAAAAGTGTTCTTGACATTTTTTCATCAAATGAGCCATTTATGAGTAGTTAAAATTTAAGAAATTAGTAAGAAAATGTTTATGTTTAAAAAACAAAATGGCAGATATCTGGTTAACGAAGTGGTTTTGGAAAAAGTTTTATTCTTGATTTTCTCTTTGTTTTGGCTCAAGGAATCAGTACGTAAATTATATCCCCACCTTTTTTAAACACCCTGTATAATAGAGTATTTTTAATATTTGTTATGACTTGATGAACACCTTAAATTAACTTCAAATTACTTACAGTAATTTGGCTTAAAAAGGTATTATATTAACAATTCTGTAGGACGAATGATCGTAGAAAAATAATGCAATTGAACACCAATTTCATTCTTAATATCTGGACAAAGACACAGTATTTGATACGCTTCACATACATTAATTCTACAAGTATACTGCTTGATTAGCAGCCACAAAGATTCGTAAATAAAAAAAACTCCTCGCTCGATAGTTTCATTCATCCATTCGATAGGTGACAAAATCGTGCCTTTTGGTGATAACGTTTCTTGCAACGCCGTAGCTTATCAACTTCAAGACAGATGTGACCATCTTCTGGCTGGGCTGTTCCACTGAAAGTACATGTACAAGTGATTATTTCAGACTTTTAAAGACTACTCGTAAAGGAAATTTTTAGTTTATTAACCCATCAAATGAAACACATTGGTTCAAAACCCGTTTTGCAATAAAATTGTCCTTGCTAAATGTAGAACTTAATCAAATCAAATCCATTTATTGCCATCAACATTATAAATTAAATTAAATTGTTCATCCAAATCGAATTTGGTTTTATACTTCAATTATTAAAATACGTTCTTTAAACACAAGAGAGTGATTTTAAAAAGGACATTTTGTCACATCAATACGTAGATTAAAACCAATTCCGCCTTAAATTTTAATATACTGTTAAATTCAGGACAGGCGTTTGTACTTCCATAATGTGGCTGCAATTGCGTCATCTTCAAGAGTCCTTGGAGGTTAGCGGCCATCTTGGATAATTTCAAACAGCTGCTGAAGACCCCTCTACGTGGGTTATTTATCGTCCAAAAATATTTTTTCGAACACCAAATTGAATATAATTTAAATATCTAGTTAACTGTGAGATTAGAAAAGTTCTTTATAGTTTTGAAGTGTTCTCCAATGGAGTCCATGACACTAACGGCCATCTTGGATTCGCCCGCCATAAGAGCAATGTTAATTTCGTTAGTTTCAAACAGCCACTGAATAGTTATTTACCATCCCAAAATATTTTTTCCAAACACCAGAGTGATTGTAATTAAAATACCTAGTAAACTGTGGGATTAGAAAATGTCTTTGTGGTTTCTTGATTGTTTTACCAGTTAGAACGTCTAGCCAACAAAGAACTCCTGTTCTTAGCTCTTAGGATGAAGCCGGTGTGCGAAATAACTCCTCTAATACTTGATACTCTAATACTCTCCTCTAATACTTGTAAAGGTTAACATAGAAAATGATAACTCCCTACTTACACGAGTAATCTCCCACAAAAGCTATAGTGATACACTTGCTGGTGAGCGGAGTGTATTTAGTAGGCACTGGAGTAGTCGTGTACCACCCCCTACCCTCGTATATACTGCCACCGTCATCGATCATGAAACTAATAAATTAAAATATGATTAATAACAATAATGAGTGTTCTAAAGAAATTCAGTAATCAATAGAATCATAGATACTGTATTTCCCTAATTCTTGCCTCCTTCTATATTAAGATCGCATAAAGAGATCTGGGAAAGAAGGTCAATAAACGGTACAGTTTTACAAATTTGTTTCGGTGCCCAGTTTTCCATTTTGTTATGTGTTTTATTAAAGGGCAGGGATATGACTAAACTTTTAAACATGTTTAACAACCCTTTATTTGAATAGGAAAAAAACATGAAGGCAACTTTTAGATTTATCTTATAAAGATGAAAATAATACACAATTTTCGTTTTGGATTTTGCTATTTTAAGGAATTTTGCTGTATGGCAAAAATACAGTCCGTTATACTGGCCAAACATATTTGACCTTCGCTCATTTTCTACTTTACTTACACTCTTTAAGCTTGAGTTTGTCTTTAATAGAATGCTCTAGTAATTAAACGGACTATTATGAACATTTACTGTATCATCTATCAATACCATAGAGTAAAACCCATAGGTTTAACACTCTCACTACCGAGTGGTGATAGATCATACAAGAAAGTGGGAGGACTGGGGGAAGGTGTTAAAATTAATTTACAAAAAGTAAAAAAATATACGTCTAATTGAATACACGTCTTGAATCATACATTTACACTTATCAAAAATCAAATCGAATCGTAAAGAATACGTAAATCCGGGAAAGAATACTTGTATACCTTCCTTCAGGAATAAGTGTTTGAGCCGGGACATATTTTTGGTTTGACAATTAATTACTACAGAAACCAATCAAAATCGTTCACCTGTATCTTTAATGTGTGGGTATTTACAGTATGGTGTGTGGCTTATATATAAGTGTAATGGTATAATACAGTAGTCCAGAAAATATGTGTGTACCGTACTCGTATAGTAATCCCACTCGTTCGGTAAACACATTTTTCGGACAAGTAACGTAAACTTGTTTAGGAGTTATTAGACATTTTTACCAACAAAACGTTCTTACTTGTACTTAATATCGTCCATTTCCTTTCTCAAGTGCCGTTTCTGTATGTTCAACAATACATCCTTGCAATCTGCTTTGCCGTAACATTTATGTTTTCCTGAGTAGTATAACAACACCACGTTTGACACAGGGATCCTGAGTCTAACGGTTCCTTTGGGAGGAACTGCCCCCCAGAATGTTCGTGGTACTATTTCATCCTCCCCCTGAATTCTGTCTAAAACAAAATATATTTATTTTGTATTCACTGAAGGCATTTCTATGACTGGCTCTAAAGGATTTTCTGTGGATTTTACACACAAAATGTACTTAAAAGCTTAAAAAATGACACTCTAAAAAGTGATGGAGGGATACATAAAGAAAGAAAACCTTGTATCGTAACAATTAATAAGAAGGGTGTCTTGTATTTACACTAAAAATCTCTATAGTCTGATTAACCTCATTTGATTCCTTAATGTAAATGCTTTGCATAGACTTCAAGAGTTCTTGCTTGTGGTCGGGTCAAATCAGATTTGTCATAAGCCATACTCATAAGCATTTTACCGTGATTTAAATTCATATTAGTTTCTAAAAACGTCAAAGTATGTAGTCATATTGATGTCAAATTATTATGTGTCATGCTATTTACATAACACAGCATCCAGTCTATGTAGAAGATGAATAGTTCACTTAAAAGCATAAAGTAATTTTTAAATGTCAAAATTGTTTATCAGTTCATGTAATAAATTTCTGTAAACTCAGTCGCCGATGATCCAGAAAACCTTTGAAAACAAATTGAAACTCTACTATACTTACCAATATCAACAAATGTAAGAAGCATGAGTCCTTTTACCAGTTTTCAATTTTAATCATCTTGATCCAATGTCATTCATGTATATTTTTTATTAAAACGCAATTTCTATGGAATTAACTATCAAGTCATAGTTGAATGTATTCACACATATCACACCACTACAAAACACTTTCATTTCATCAATGAGTAACCCTTATCAATGAGTTGTAAATGTTAACAGTAGATAGTTAGATATTACTTTATCTTCATTTAATCCTACAACGGCACTAATATTACTAAGGTCTGTTTGCTCAGTTTCCAAATTTATGACCACAATATGGCTTCGAGTGATTCTTTCTTGATCATAAACATGGTTTTAACACAAACTATTGTTTATAAAAGAATTACATATCAAGCTTGTGGTGCCATTTACCGGCCATGAGTGTTCCTAACTATATTTGTCCAAAAGAAACTGGTCAGCTGCATTTTAAAATGTTAAACGTTCAAAAGGGGGTGATCACCACAGGAATAGGGTACAGGATAAATTAAAAAAAATACCTATTTCATTTCTGCAAATTCATAACTTTGTACATCACCAACAACGTTTTGCTACCCTTTTTGAACTTCGAGTTTATGACCGCCAAGAAATGTCTTGACGAAATGAATCCAAATCTATAACTACAACAATTTACAAAATGTATATGTTACCAACTTTATAACTACAGTAATTGTCTTGTAGATACAAGTATAACATTAATTGTTATTTCTTTGTACTTTTCAAAATACGATGAAAATACACTCACCTTATTAACAGGGTATATATAATAAGAAAGTATAAATGAACTTTCTATCGTGTGTCTTACTCCAGATAAACACTATTTCACATACACAGTTATAGGTAGTATACAAGTAAACTAGTGTTGACGTTTCATTTACTTGATATACAATATGGTTTATAATCTACATAGAGCAAAATCAAAATATTGTTTGATGAAGGTAGTGTGGATCCCGAATGCTAATAGTTTAATAGCGCCAGCCCACATCAGGAAGTTTGGCTGCGTATCTGTAACAAAATGGGTGTAGCAGAAATTAAATATTATTTACCTTAATTTTTCGATACAAAATAAGTAAAAATATTAAATATTAGATCCAATGTAACGATCCAATTATTGAAACAAATGTGATTCAAATGTTTTTAGGAGATAACAGAATGTGTAAAATAAAAGCTGCTTGAAGGCACACCATAAACGTTTCGCATATGAGTGTGCATTGGTTCACTTTAAACAGTCTACTTAAATTCAAGGTGACTCTAAACGTATTAAAATATGAACATTCTGGATCCTAGACGTTTTGCTATCAATTAAAAGCCTTTCAATCAGGCGTCACACTGCTATGTATGTGTAGTCTCTTGACACGTTTTTATTCTTGAATGTGTTTAATGATACTGACTGACAAAAGGTAGATTTAAAATGTTGACAACTTTCCTTCACATAAAGACCTCTAAATATTGTGCTGGTCTATTGGTAGAGCACGGGGCTTTGGTGCCTGAGAACCCGGCCAATCCCGCCAATCACCAATGGATTTATATGTGTGATAATGCCGCAACCCTCTAGGCCTATCCTGAAGTAATGTGTAAAACAGTTCCGGGTTAGAACTAGCATCCTAAAATGTACAGATGGAACATACAAATAAAACTTCAGTACATTACCTCTAAAATCTCCTATGAACCCAATGCTAATACTTTTGTCGTCCAAAGGGAAGAATTTCGTCGGGGCTACCGGCATCACATGAAACCCCCTGCCTTCATAGACCGTGCCTTTATTGTCAACCAAGAAACTGCAACAGAAGATACAATTCAAATATGAAACTTCAACACACCTAACCCCATGCAACTGAACACACTTAAACTATTGAATTGATGGCATTAAGATAGATTTCCCATAACCTCGATTATCGATTATTATTATCAACGGTTGGTTATCCTCATTGGTGGTTCCAAAGGGGGTGGCTATAGAGGCTACCCCCCCCCCTAAACTGGAGACTAGAAAAATATGTAAACACACATTTGATTTTATTCTAAATACGAAACGAGGGTTTTAGACATAGTTCTAGACGATAAAAGGGCTTTAGAATGCCAACAAAATGCTTTTAAAATACTAAATTTTGTGGGGGAAGACCCCAGGACCCCCTTCTTTCTTGGGGCCTTTGACCTGGTCCTAGAACCACAACTGATAACCACTTCCACACTTAAATATTCTTAATCAATTTTGTGTTCACTTTTCTTTAATTGAAATTAAAAACACACAAAAAAAATTTATTTTTAGATGGACAACCTTTTGTGTACAAAGCTTTTTCCTCTATCTCTAATAACAAAGCCACGGTAGCCAAAAATATAGAACTATTTTTCAAATATTGCATATTTTTCCATTTTACAATATGGCATCCGTCCCGTAGCACAGCTTCAATTTTAGGGGACTTTTAGTATGTTTAAGGAAGGTACACCCAACATCTGTACCAAATTCCTTGCTTGTGCTAATTTTTTGGGTTTATGGAATTTATCGGTTATTTTTACTGTACTATATGGAAATAACACTCTTCCTTCACCTATCGTCGCACTTAGGTGTATCGGGAAATTATAAATCCGATCTAATATAGCAAAACATCTACAATGTTTATATAGTGTGTTCCATATGACTCTAAACAATGGGTGATCAACGTCCATGCCAAATTTAAGAACCCACTTATCCAAAATTTTGTTATAAAATTATCTTACTTATAATGTGAGTCATCAATAGGTAAAGATATGTCCAAACGCATCAATTAAAGTCTGTATATTTAATTTATTACATCAGCTAGTTGCACTATCTAATTTTCTATCTGTCAACAGCATTGATATATGTCCAACAAACTAGGTTAATATAGTGACTCCATCCCTTAGGACACAAATAAATACAAATTTCTCATTTACTTTACAGCATAGCCAACAATAAACAACAATTAGTCTTATAATTATTAGATATTTATTTTGAGCTGTTTAAAATCAAAGTACCGTGTGAATTTTAAATTTTATGTTTAACATTTTTTGTCAATAAGTAATTTTCTTGCGTTGTCAATTTGGCAAATTAGTCTTGAGTTGTTCAGTAAACATGTTTTGTGATAGAGCTTTAAAAAATTATCATTCGCTTGGTCCACAAAATGTGAGTTCTCTGTGTTAGATTGATGTGCAAAGTAAGCTTTTGACTATAATCATTAGTATTTGAGTAAATACTACCTCCCACAGCCGTGTTAAGGTTATAGCAAGTTCTAAAATAAAAATGGAAGTATTTGAATTGACCCACTGACTGAATCTGCTAGTGTTAACTAATATGCATCGCATAAGTGTCTACAAAGTTCATAAAAGAGGGCTAATTATTGCAAACTAAAGCATAGTTTATGTCATATGTACTTTTATAGTGTCAAACGAAAATCGCACTATAGACTGTAGCACGTTTTGTGAGAGGCTCAATCAACTCTGTTCTACTATACTTGGATTTAAGGAATTGGATACAGCTCATCCATATGTATGATGTGTCTAATGTAGTGTCTCAAAGCATCGGCTTTTAGATAATGAAAAAATCTCATCTACATGGACCATTTGTAACCAATTGTTTATTAAAAAATAAAATGGTCAATGAACCACTTACAGAATGTGCTACTATCTTAAATTCAAACTTCTCCCATCTATTGTTACTTAATTAGTATAAAATATGCTAGAGCTTACAATAAGGTATATATCCTGTTTGTTTTGTTGATAACATGGTGCATTTGAAAGACAGCAGTAATGATAACAATAATAATAACATATAATGTATGTAGACCAGCTCGTCAAATCGGTAGCTAAATTAAAAATCTGTACGTCCATCGTATTTGAAAAATTGCTACAGCACTGGAATGTAAGGTCTATTTCCACATATCGAATACCATAAAACAAACACACTAGACATTCACATGCAAAATATCCCTACTTGTATTTGATGTCTGGTCCTCCCATTTTCTTCATTTCGTGATTCTGCATTTCCTTCAGGACTCTGTAGCATTCCGTGTCCTTCTCACAGCTCACGGACCACGTGTGGTAGACAAATATGACATTCCTAACCGGAAGTGAGAGGTAGAACTTCCGTTTTGGTAGCAACGCTCCCCATTGGTCCCGGTGTTTCATCCGCAACCGTTCCACGTGGATCTCCCAGTCAACATTCTCTGGAAAATTCATCTAAATAGTGTTCATCTAAACAATGAGTTTTGTACGATCTTGTTTTCGATAATTCGTAGTTTTTGCAATGGTTTAGGTTATAACAAAGAGGTAAGGTGTTGGAGAGATATTCTTTGGCAAGTTCTCCGCTCTATTGATACCAATGATTCACTGAGAGGGAGGGAGGTAATAAACGGTCGTGCATTAATTGCGCCAAAGAGTTCCTTAATTGTGCCAAGCTCTCAAAGGGCTCAAAAGATGTTCCTTAGTTGCGCCAAGCCCAAGATGAGTTGCCGGTACAGTAGAAGGAATGCCCGTGTTTACCTAAACCATCCTAAACCTAAACCAGTTTAACCTATCTTAACCTAACCTTTCCTAACCTAACCTAACCTATCCTATTCTAACCTAACCTAACCCAATATAGCCTAACCTACTCAATTATACAGTCAAAAGAGGCCGCCACTTGGTGCAGTTAATGAACGTATCGGATGGCTCCCTGAACTAGTTGGCGCAATTCATGAATATCCGACTAACTAACTCAAGTCAGTTGGCGCAATTAATGCCTGCCCGTCCTTTTCGCATCATTGATATCGAAGATTTGCTGAGAGGAAGGTATTAGTACCGTCTCTAGCAGGTACGTCTTGTAAGACCGGTATGGTAATGGTTTTGTAGATTATGCACTCTTCTTTTGCATGTACTGTGAATTTAAAGTAGCTTATAGAATGGTTAAGTCTGGAAGAATTATTTTCTTGAACATTACAAAGCTCATAGCATTTTTCAGGTTACAACTTCAATTTAAAGTTGATATTTACTTTGGTTGTACAATGTTGGTTGTTAAAAATTAAAACCCTTGACAAAAAAAAAAATCTTTGTTTGTTTACGTCAGCAAATCCAAAAAAAGAAATTAAACATTACTTTCGCATTGTGAACATTCTTTTGCCGTAGTAAACAATGTAATGATGCATTTTCGCAGGTGAAAATGTGCTCACCTAATTTCACCTAAATTTACCTATTTGTACCTTTTTGTACCTACATATATGTATTAGCAAACTAACTAAGAGTGAAATTTTTATATAACATTGATGTTAACCTTATTAATATTTATTTTTCTCACCTTTGTCCCAGGCCCAGGATTACACTCACCCGGTGCAATGTGTCGAAGAAACGGGTTTAGAAGATCAATGCTTTGAAACACTTCCGTGTTCTGGAAAACTTCGGTCATTTTGTCTAAAACTACCCAGACAAACTAACTAGTTATAACGCTTTGGGATAAAGTATAGACTTGTTTTCACATTATGATAACATATCAACCGTGTAATCTTTGAGTAGTGGTTATGTATTTTTGAATCACTGCCGAAAGTTAGTGTCGATATAACGTTTTATTTTTGTTGGAAACCGTATACAGTTTTATACAAATTTCTTAAAAATATGAGCAAATGTTTTGTATTTTTTTCTTGAATTCTACTGAGCGATATTTAAACCTTCCTGAGTCTAAGTAATTAATTACCGATAATCTATTTTTGGGGAAACGGGTTTTTTTGTAACTTATTCATTTAAATTATGAAAACTATTATTATGTAATCCACAAAAATATTCAATTATTATATACTCTTATATATAAACTATTTTACAGCCAAGGGCGGGTGGTCCATATATATCAGAAGTCAATTGTAATCTATTGTAAATAATTGTATTTTTATGGTTATAGCCTAAGGATCACTGATTTATAGAATAAACAGTTGTTTTTAAGTCTCAGACTTCGTCATTCGAATATAAAAATATTAAAATCCTTCAAAATGTATCTCTAAATTGCTATTTAAAATTTAACCGTACTTATGGCTGACTTATCCTTAAAAAAATATCTAGTATTGCCTTGATAAATGTTTGGCCTAAAAAGTGTATATAGAATATGCCTAAAAATGCCCCACACCCAAGTTAATTAATTTATGTAATAACTGATGTACAATTCTATGTATCAGTCTCAGCTTCAGTGGAATAGTTTCAATTTGTTTTTGCCCGGTATGTGTGGAATGTTAAAATGTTTTACCTCTATTTTTTCATCAAATGTATTACACTTTAAGTAAATAAAACAATCAATCCACAAACTTGGTATTGTAACAAAAGAATAAAAAACACACTGCAAAATTTTCCTTTAACGAGGAGAAAATAGTTGTTTGATATCAGCTTAACCAGAACGACGCCCATGCTTTAGAGTTAGAATTTAAAACATGATCAGAATTTTTCTTTTAATATCCAAAGTCAACGATATAATCCACTAATAACACTACTCACGAAACCTGCAATTATTTAAAAGCAGAAACACTTTAATCCAACATAATGAAACACTGCAGTCGCAAGGTAAAAGTTTTAATTTATTCGAGTGTATGAGTTAGTGTAGGTAAAGCAGATTATTTTAGAGATTAATGTAAGTGGTACCGTGGCGTGTTTCAAAGGTAAAGTACATCTTGAATGTCGGAGTTGGATGGAAGTTTCGATAGTCAAGTTTACCGATTTGCATGACATAACAGAACTCCAAACTCAGTTCTACACCCTTTATGGCTCTTAAATTAATTGCTTTTGCGTCAAAGGTAGATTATTTAAGTGGAAATCGTATTAGGAAACTTTAATTAAGCTTTACTACTGACTCTGAGAATGTTATACAGTTGTATCATAAACATGCATTTGAGTGATTTTAACTATGTTTATTGTCGACTAGTTTGGAAAGTCAAATTTTGGAGGGTACACAACCGTATAAAGTCTATAATGTATCAAGATGTATGTAGAAATCATTTCGTGTGAAACTCAGACTGTTAATACAACATGTAAATAAATATGACATTTTTTTGCTCTTTGCAAAAATTGTGTAATTTAGGTACGGTAATGAGGAAGGTTCAAGTGGTATTTAATCAAATAAATCAATATAAAAAACATAATCAGTTTTCAGTAACCGTGTGTGAGTATGATTTTGTGATAGTGTAAATGACATACATGTTAACTATCAAATTACGTAAGAAAAAAAGTCGTGGACGGAGCAAGTTCTCACAAAAAAATATTCAATTCCTGGCAACAAACTAGGCCTAGTTAACACTTTAAGGTTCTAGATGAAAAAAAAAACAAATTGTTAAATTTGTTCTAATTGTTGTTATAAATGTAAGATCGATAAGCGGGGTAAAAAGTCTCTGAGTTTGATGACATTGGGTAAAAATTGGTAATTTGTAAACCAAATTACCAACAAATCGATATAGGCCTAATACAACACAATATTAACAAAAATACGTTTTTGATAGTTTACAAGTACGATTATAATCAAATTCGAGTAATTTATAGAAAACTAATGTATATTTTAACCACCTCATTAATTGGTCATTGATGTTAATTAGTGTCATTAATGAAAAAACTTCTCGATTCTAAACTAGACATATTATTCTTTTTATTCCCTTGCCAAGGGAGTTAGTTCCTTTCATCGCCACCAGGGTTCCTCTGTTAGTTTCCACACAGTCCGTCAGATAGCATCATCTGCTAGGCCGGTCATGGTCACTACGTCTTTGTTTCTTTCATTCCCACGAATATACACTTCTCATTCACCATTGTTGTATAATTGTTGTTTTCCATTTGTCATTAACACGATTGTGCAAAGGAGTTTGCTAATAGGTGGTTTTTTAGGAATAGAAGTTGGGTTTGCACTGGAGGAAATATATTTGGTTTTTGTTTACACACATAGTGAAATTCCTGTATGTATAATTGATAGTGCTAAACATTGGAGTTAATATGAGAATGCGTAGGAAATGAGAGTAAATAAATTTATTTATCATTGCTATCCCCAGTTTACTAACCAGACAAATAAATATTACATATAATATAAACAAACATTATATATAAATATAACACTAGCTTTTCAATACTATTTTTCCAAACCATATCGTTTTTGTAATTTCTTTATAAAGTCATTTACAGAAAAGTTTATTTGTTCATTTTGTACTCCTGCCTGTTTGTTTTTTCATTCCAGTTTAAATAGGTTTTTAAATGTATAAACAATTTACATTTGGACGACAAAATATTTGTCAGAAACATAGTTGTTTTATTTGTTACAGTCTCCAATGAAAGTTTAATTACACAATAACATTTAAATTCCATGTTGTTGGCCACTGGATTACTATAAATGACTATAATAGTGTGGTATAATTTGACGAGGTAATTATATTATGATATTATAGTCAATAACATAATAAAAACAAAAGTATAAAAACACATTTGGCGTTACGGGTTTGAACAAAATTAATTTACCTTAATTATATACAAACAATTATACTACTCGTAGCTTCACCCTTATCATTATTAAATATTATAATTAATCGTACATATTTATAATACTAAGCCCCATGTTATGTAGTAAATAAATTACAGTATGAAATAAATAAACAGTCCGAATTGAATATTATTTGATAGCGAATAAAATATTATTCATGACTCTTGTTAATATTTATCAAGGCGTGAGAGTTGGGAATTCATATTTTATTCCAACTGAAGACTGAAATGTTAAGATGGTACAGCAGAGGCGGGATATAATGGTGTTATTAGTAAGAAAGAGTTTTAACAAGCACTGCTTTGTAGCGTGATCTCCGCGTCTCTCGATGTTAAACTGAATATTTTCACATTTTATTTTAATGAATATTATTAATTATGAAACAACACATTTATAGAATTATCTCAAAAGCCTTTAATTATATTTGAAAATGTTAGTGAACTACTATTACATTTATATTAGGAAAAAACTGATTAGGAACTACAATAAAATTCTTGTACATAACTTAATTGAAACTTATATAACACTTCGTTATAAAATAAAAAAAAAGTATGAGCTAGTTTCAATAGTGGATTAGAAACTAAAGTAGTTTTTATTTATTTTACTTATTACTTTTTCACAACTTTTTAATTTCTATGCCTATTTTAAGTAAGAGTAGGCCGTTCATTTAGTAAGGATCAAGAATATTGTCTAAAAAGAGTTAGGAGCAGATCCTTAAAATATTTTTTCTTCATTTGAACATGTTCTCTTCAAATCACAATCTGCCTCGGTCTTCCATAGGAGTTTACTCAGCTTTGCAAACGCAAGGTAAAAATCTCTATCATAAAACAATTGTTTATATTGGCAGTTTGAGCCAAAGGATGCCAAGTCACGGCATATCCCGTGCTGCCTTCTTATCGTATAAACAATGGCTACTTAAACCCAACAAGACTGCTCAGGCTTTTTAGCATAATTTACATTATCACTAAACAGTTTTTGTTAAGTTGATAACATCTATTTGTCTGGTACTTTGCCATTTTGACCAAATCGTGCTTGAGATATGTAAATTCCTTACAGTGTTTTGCATTTTTCAGTAAAATAATTACCTCCTATAAGCGAGTTGAATTTGTGATATTGTCATTATAATGTTTAGTAATAAGAGTTTTTCAACACAAAATACAAAGTGCATCCCGTAGGTCTCAATAGCATTAATTTTTCTAATTCATCCTTAATATACCCAATATTCACTCCTTTTGGAGCGAGCTGGTCTAGTGGTAGAGTGCGGGGCTTCAGAGAGTGAAGTCCCGGGTTCAAATTCCGTCAAACACCAATTCGTTTTATCTTTGACACCGACTCTGCCCTCTAGGACTAGTCTTAAGTAATGTGTAAGAACAGTTTTTAAATCCTGGAATGTGAAGGTGGAGAAATATATGTGGGTCAATTAATTATGAAAAGAACGTGACATTGAACATGACACTCCGACTAGAGACACAGGATTCAAAAAACGAACCAAATTTCAACCATGTATACATATCCGACAAAACATTCATTGAAAGGTCGAATTACTGAAATCACCTGACTATTCATAATCGGATTATCGAAAGTCCACTATTCTTTCCGGTCCAAAACTTATCCCATGGGATAAAAATGCCTCAAGCAACACCGCCGCGTGGTAAGACAAGTAGGTCTGGTTGCCTAATGTATTGCACTGTGTCGGTTGCGTACTTCTGTCCAGCACAATACCCTCCATTAGCTGCTAACAGCTCAATTACCTCTACATGCCACTGACTCCTGGCCGACCACTGGCGGAAACCACTAGAAATTGTCTCAACACTTCGTTGTTTGTTTATTATAATCAGAAATTAATGTTATTGATGTTTAATGTTTACTTTGGAATTTCTTTGTGAAAAATATAGCGGTGAGTTCACCTTGAGTATGATCTCTTCTGTGTTTTAGATAGATTTACCTATCTAAATGTGATGCCAAACGGGGTCACTTCAATAAGTGCCGTTCAATAAGCGGCATTTGACCATGGGCCCCTTGTAAGAATATGACAATATGTTCCCAAAACTTCGCAAATACCTCAACACTCTGAAAACTTCTCTCAAAATTGCTAACACCTCTTGAACATTTTTTATATTTCTATGGTTCAATGAAAAAAGATCTTTATCCAAAATCACCAGGAAAGTACAAAAGATAAATTATGAATTATATAATTAACATAATCACCTCAATGAGACAGTGACGTGCTCATTGTCATGTAAGTTGAATAAGAATGTGAAGTGAGTGTGGAATTGAGTGAGTTGATTGCTTTATACAGACTACGATCATGTATTCTTGAGTAAAGTTCTTCGATTTTAAACCCCAAAACCAAGAACAGTTTGGATCCAGTTTCAATCCACCAAAAAGTTATTGGATTTCCTCTGGATCGAACTGAGGACATTTCGAGTCCGGTGAACCATTTGGTAATTCAAGGCAATACATTCATATAGCGAAATACATAGTTCCTTTGGTATACAAAACATAAAATGAGTAAAAACAATCTGATCAACAAGCGTAACTAAAGAGGTTAAGGTTCACTCAAATACACATTTGTGACAGTTTTAGAGGATTTAACAAAGGACAATCAGCGGAAAATGCAGCAAACTCTGAGCAATTCCACACAAAATGGATGGATTATGTAAATGTTTGTGACAGAGTCGTGTAATATGTTAGAATGGGATCTCTCAACCCTGTTGCTAAGTGGTATTTTGGGTAAAGTACTTCAAAGGAGTAAATGGTTGTTACTTGTATTAATTAGTTGTTTTCATTTTAACTACTGTGTTTGTACCATTTATGGTTACTGTAATTATTTATGTAATTATATTTCGTTCTGTTATGTTTATTTTTTACACATTTGCTTTGTACGTTTGCTCTATTTTACAATAAATTTTGTAATATCGACTTATTTATTATATGTATAGCAAGTAAAGCAATACTTTGATAATGGCATAAACCTTCTGTAAGCCATTGTGAAATGGTAAATACCATGGAGATAATAATAAAGAAATCGTGATTGTGTTTCGAAACAATAAAGAGATGACTTAATCCTATTCTATAGAAAACAAATAGGACAACTTATCTGACTTCATTATTTAAAGAGCTTGAGCGCTATTAAATTGAAAGGAAACAGCAATTTAAAATAATTATGAATTAATCAAAAGAGGGAGACATGATTTTTACATTGTTTTAAGACCATTTACAAACATTTCAATTTGTAGTTCATCCTACAAAATTTTACAGATTATATAAGAAAAATATATAACTTCAGGCTTGATTTTAATTTCCAAAATTGATAAGCGAGTGAACATTATTTTTGAAATTCTTTAACGTTTGTTTTAACCCAAGGGATTATAATATCATGGTTATTAAAATAATATCAGAAACTTAAGTCCATTTACAAATTACTTTATTTACTTTATTTTACCCTCATTTCAGACCAAAATTAAGTGGGCTATTGGGAAACAATTTCAAGTAAAACATTAGGCTACCTGTGATGACAAATACATAAATAAAATGAGTTAGTTGCTGGAAAAATGTTGTTATCTTTATAGATTTTGGATCAATAATAAGTTTTGCTCTATTCTAAAGAACTTCCAAATTTTAATATCTACGTCAGTAGTTTTTTACATAAAGACATTTCAAATGTCCTTGTTTTATTCGAACCTCTAATACGGAGGAATGAACTAAGAAGTATTCGTCGTCCCAACAAAGTTGAACGTGTGTATTTTCTTTGGTGTTTAGGTCATTTCCTTGAAGTCACCTTCCTGTTGATGAATGTTTGCCACCTGGTAAAAATTGGATTGATAACGTAAAGATACAGAGAGTAATCAATTTTACTGTTGTGAATTATATTACCTTTATTGTTAGAGAATCTACAAAATGGTGCACATTAAACCATCAGATACCATGAATACACTATTTAACATTCAATTCAGATCACTCAACACAAATTAAATTGAACACGCCAAAATATGTTACGTATTTTACCTCAGTGCTTTATTCCAGCTTATTAATACGGAGTAGCATCCTTAATAAGCTACCAGACACTAAATAAACATATTTTTACCTCATTACCTTTCCATTATGCATAATAAATTAATTATCAAACTCCAAAATAATATGCAGGAGAATTATTTCTCTTATCATAACCCGTGACCCCGACCTACCGGACGTTGGAGGTCGTGGTATAAAAGCCGGGAAGCTCCGGATGGCCCCAGTAGTTGTGCGTCCTCTGCCGAAGAAATGGTTACGGTGTGCCTCAAGGTTGGTGTTTCGGTGCGGTGCTCTTTATTTTTCTTTTAGTGAAACAAAGTTATAATGTAAACATGTTTTTCACCGATGTGATTTGGTGTTGATGTGTTGTGGTCCTTAGTGTTACTATTAAGTCTTGTTAATTGATATATCTAGTTATGTTTGTTGGTTCATCGTCTGGTTCATACTGTTTTGCAGGGTTTAATTTATCTGAATGTCTTAAACTGGTTAAATGGTTCAACACTCTGAACCTCAGGGGCTATTTAATAATTAAATTAGAAATTGTTTTGTCCCGTTTTATCTTTTCGTGGAAAACAAAATGTCAAAAAACTCTGATAATTATTTCTTTAATTTAGGCTTAATGAGGGTGTATCGAATTTGAAGGTACTATTTAAAGCCTTAATAATGGGTCTTTCAAAAAACGCTATTACATAAACTTTCTCCATTTTTATAAGAATAGGAGAAGCCAATGAAATGCAGATCCGTAATATTATGTACGTTTCGGATAATGATATTTTTTCATACTTGAAGAGCGAAATATATTTTCTATTTTTAACTGCATTGTGAATTTTGAATCGTTGAATTAACACTCAAGCTCGCTAGAGGCAACTTTATAATCGTTAAAACTAAAGATACACTGAATTACTGCATTTTAATATTTTTAGACAAATTGATTTTTTTCAGACAGTGTTGGGATACCTGACTTTAGTCCTTTCAGCCTTTGCTGCACCTTCTCATGTAGTTGACTACCATGTAAGTAAACAGAAGTTACGTAATGGTGCCTAAAAGAGTTGTATTATTTATTCAAAAAGGGTTAATTTTGGTTTTACCAACAGTAAATGAATCAAGGTATATAATCTTTTTCTAAAGGGGGGTTTGACAAATTCATTTGGTTTACCTTTTAAGTGTAGTAGGATTCTAGAGAATATAGCATCAGAGTATCATTGATTGGTTAATCTAGCTATGTTTGTTGGGTTAACATAATATACCGTCTGGTTGATACTGTTTTGATAGGTGAAGTTTTTCTAAAAGTCTTAATCCGATTAAATGGTTAAACCTCTTTAACTTCAGTGGTTATTTATTAACTCAATTCTATCTCAAATATTTAAAACTAAAACCATTTTTAAAACCAATTTTTTTATTTGAATTCTACAGTGTACTGTTAAAATATCGTATATTTAAGTTGAGTGCTTAATCAACCTACAACCTATGTAAAAAACATATCTAACTATCAATGATTTAATATACATCCACAATAATTATTAATGGTATTGATTAAATATTGAAAAATATTAAAGACCAATTAAATTATTTTAAATTTACACAACATGTTTCGTCGTTGTTGGCAAACTTTCATTTTTATACATTTTTAATTGAATAGTAATTTATCTTTTTATTATTTATAAATCGGCACTCATGATTTGATAGTAAGTTACTAACTCAGAGAGCATTTGAGTACACAAACAAGAGCATGGTAATGAGAAGTCGATGGCAGCTTTAAAAGTACATACTTTTTTTCTGTAGTGTGAAGTCTCCAAGAAAATGTACAGCTAGTGTTCAATGATGGTTATATAGGTAGACTGAACATTTTCATTCAGTTCCTTTGATTGGTCTTGCAAAAATAACAAACCATTTATCTACATAATTTTACTTTATATTACAATCTATTTTTAATTTCATTTGAAATTAAAAGTGGGTTCGAAAGCCTGGTTCCTACTATGTCCAGGCAACAAGTAACTGTAAAAACTCCCAATAATGATTTGACATTATATCTTTACCGTTGAACTATACGATTTGGAAACATAATCTAACTTGAAATTTTACTGTTTTTCTTCGGCCGTCCAAAGTATGAAGCATAAAACGAAGAAAGTGGGATGCAGTGAATTCTATTGACACATAACTTATTGCCTAGTTTCTACAGCGATTTTCACACAATGTTTTCTACAATGTTTATTACTTCACTTTTTCCGCCCATTCCCGTGCTATTGTTATTCCAAAACCTTTTCCTAGACACAATGCACAGGTCACGGCGGCGCAATTCGAGGCCGGCGCACTCAGCCGCAGAGATACGATCTCATTGAAACCTTACCTGCAAAACGTACGTAATATTTGCACGGGTGACTCAAAATGACGTATTGTCCAAGGGTAAGATTTAGTTCCGTAAACAATATTTATGATTGGTTCGGATTATGCAATTAGAATCGGCTGACTCATTTGAGAACTGAGATTTTCTTCCTTACACAACTTTTATATTTACTCATGAGCTATATTTGATTTTTCCCGGAAGGCTGTGCATTTTATCCAAAATCTATATATTGAAATATTTGTTCCGAACTTTATCTATATAAAAACTGTAAGGCGGTTCAATTTTTTCGAATATTTTTACACGATTATATACCTAAGATACACTTGAATCCTTTATATTTGGGTTTAGGTTTGCTTACCCCAATGTATAATGTTACGTCTGTTCGATTGGATCAAACATGTTAACTTGTTGAATGCTATTTGATTTCCCAATTGGCCATAGCGCTTGCTAAGTAAACAGGTCTCAAGTTTGAATCCTAGAAAGTAGCTTTTTCCCCACAACAAAACTGGATACAGCTGTCATTGTTCACTAGGCAGCAAAGAAACATCTGGTCTTCGTAAAAAAACTACACAAGACATTTTACACGCCTTCTGACATATATGTGTTATTTGGTTAATATATTGGCACACACGTATTAGCAACATCTTAAGTTGTAATAAGGTGACTGTTAGCATTTCACATTTCTAATCTCTTCCAGAGTCCAGCCCATTACTCTTTCGAGTACGGGGTCCACGATCCCCAGACCGGGGACGTCAAACAGCAATCGGAGACTCGCAAGGGGGATGTCGTCAAAGGCCAGTACTCCCTGGTGGAACCTGACGGCAGTGTCCGCACCGTAGACTACACGGCCGACCCCGTCAACGGCTTCAACGCCGTCGTCTCCAAGACCACCGGCGTCCACCCCGTCAAGCCCGTCAAGGTACCGGTGTCCGTCAAACCGGTCGTCAAGTTGGTTCCGGTCCCCGTCAAACCGAAGGTCCCCATTTACACAGAAGTTTCGTATGGACCTCCGGAATATCTTCATGGTTAGTATCAGACTATGTGAGGGGTTGTGATTTGTGGAAAATCTGTCTATGTGTTTTTGCGTAAAATATCCCGTTACAGTCAACCTGCATAATTTACTTTTATGTAAGTGTACAAAATTAACCTAAATAATTTCAATGAGTACTTAGATATTGCACTCTAATGGGTGTTACAGGTTCAATAAAAAAAACTGGACAAAACAATATTGATGAAAATACATGTAAATGTACATAGCTCCTTGTTTAGCATGTTTGAATTCTTTTATGCGGATAACATTTTAAAAACGAATGCTATGTGTTTTTATAAAAACCCCTTTAAAAGGCTATTGAAACCCTTTATCTAACGGTGGTTCAACTACCTTTTTAAGACTTTTTAGCTGAAAATGAATTGGTTATAGATATTGCCAGTCATAATGGAAATCATGAAAATCCAAACAAAGCTGGAAGAAGAAAAATAGAGTCCTTCCTTAAACACTAGTAGTCGCCTTAAAAATAAGCATGGGCATAATTTACATCATCTCAGTCTTTGACAAGGCCTGTAGAGAACCATTGTTTTTGGTTCCAAAATCCAATGTTCTCTATATTATTCCAATTTAACCCCCTTTCCTATATTTACAACCCTCATTTGTGCATTGCAATATGTGTCATTTTTGCTGGGTAGCACAGTGGTTATAGTGCTAGCCTGATAATCAAAAAGGTCACCGGTTCTATCCTGAGAAAAGTGTGTAGCTTTTTGATGCTTCAAGACAGAATCAGCTATCCTTGATGATTGGGTTTTCGATAAATGATCCTGGCTAAAACAGCTTGTCTTAGTCAGTAACTAAGCTACACTAGGCATCACACTCCATTCTACACTCATCCGTTGGGTTAATATACGCACATAGGTGGCGTACTAATCTCAAAATGATAATGATATTTTTTTTCAGATCACGCCTACGACAGCCACCATTACGCGTACGACGACGCGGCGAGTTTCTACGACCACGCGCTCAGTTACCCCCACAACGCTCTGGACGTATATGGGTTGTCTTATGGGGATCCCTACCACGACCTGTACTGATCTTTACATCAACGGGAGTGAAACATTCCGTTGAAGTTTATCTAAATACCTTCTGTACAGTTATTTCTTAACCAGTAAAATTGTAAATCTATAAGATATCTTATAGTTGTGCTGTGCACTATTTTTCTATTTTTAGTTGCTATATGGTTTAGATAAATCATTGATTCTGGATATTACAAGAATACTTCTCATCCTATTGTATTAAAAACTCCAAAGACTGATTTTATCTGTGTTTAACGACGCTTGTGTGCGCCAATGACAACTACAATTGTTTTCTCTTATTTACTCTTCACAATAGTCAAAGCTTTAGTATATTAATAGATATTTTTCTTTTAATGATATAGTAAGTTTAAAATAAAAGCGGTAAACATTACAAAGGTACTTAAATTGTCTTCAGTGATTCTCAAGTGATACCGGTAGTTGTTCTTTAAACTAGCAGAATTGAAAAACTAGCAAGCTATAACCAGCTGAGATTAAATATTTTTTAAGTGGAAGTATCACTAAGCGCATAACACTCGCTCTCTTTTATTGTGCTTGGTAATTTTTAAATAGCTTAAAATTATTATTAATATTAAAACTGCCTTATTTATAGATATTAAGATTACTGTCTGATTAGCTATAGCCTACAGGGTGTTTGGTAGTTAATAAAGATTTTAAGAAAGTATTAAGCACGCAAATTAGAAATAATGAGATATAGCTATCTAAATTACGTATTTTATCAAATTTTGCTTGCAAAATAAAGCCTTAAAATCTTTTACCCTGACTACCAAACACCCTGTATATATGTTTCACAAGCTTAATCAAACGATTTGAACAAATATAAAATAAAATGTCCAGCATGTGTTATTTTTAATAAATTATTACCTAAATTTAAAATTTTTTTAAACTCCTTTGAAATAAACAATATTGATCCGTCCAAATTTTGACTGTTTTACTTCCAAACCCCATAAAATTAAGTGTATATAGAATTGCATCCAATTAATTTAAATTTAACCTCATCCACTTCAATACTGAATAATTGCAAGTAATTTAATAGTCTATGGCTGTAGTTTCAATTAAATTGTAACCAACAGGCTTGATGTTTTTTTATATTACAATTAGTCGATCTAGACTATTGAAATTTTCAATTCATAGTTTTATGATAGTATACTATGGTTAATAAAAAAATATTATAAAAAACTGTTACGTCTTTTAAAATACAGCTGGTCTACATGGATAGTAAATTTCATAAGGATATGTCTATAGAGAAATTGTGGTATGTGTAATGTTTAAAATAACGTATACATATTTCATCCGTAATACTGTAATGGGTAATAAACGAAATCAAATTATAACACGTTTGTAAATTTTTCTATTCACACTCGTACAAAAACACTTAAGGGTACCATAAATTATTAGTTAACTATGAAACAGTCCAATATAGGATTTCTTTGTTAAAACACTAACAAAACAGCAACACAACCCGAATTTCTCAACTATTGTTACACACCTTTAGTAAAGCCTTAACACCCTTCTATACTGAGGAGAATCTTGTAAGTAAGCGAAGGGTTTGGTCAAGAAACCTCGTTCTAATGCTGTTGCAATCAGTCCGTTTAAACTTGCGAACATACATGGGACCAGCTGTTCCTCTGAAAAAACCCATAGCACAATAGATATCAATTACAATGCAACTTATTTACAGTATCTATAAAAGTTAGTGGCATGATGGGTTGGTTGTTCAGTACACCATGGAAGAAAATACGTTGCAAAAAATGCAAGTAAATACGTTTTTAGCTTGAGATGTTAAAAGAGATGTTGTAGGTTGGGATGTTAGTCCACACATGAGTCCACACTTGACATGTTTTAGGTTGGGATATAAAATTGAAACACACATAGCTGGGATATACTTTTTGGCTTTTCTTTTTAATGGTATTGCTGTTACCGTTAGGTTTATATATCCATACTAATATTTATTACTACAGTAGATAAAATAATACTTCTCTTCCTGTTAACCGTATATTTTCTTGGTTAAAGAGGGTTATCATATATTTTTAGAATACATCAATGAATTATTTGGATCGATTTTACTATTTTATATTCGTAAATATACTTTTAAACTAAAAAAAACTAACACTAAACTGAAAGGTGTAGAAAACAACTTTACAAATTCCGCCGATTTTCTCAAATTCCAAACTTTCAACCATAAGGAAACAAGTATTAACTAAAACTGTAGACCCATTTCTTTCCTACTTATATTTTCAAACTTACCCTCGTTGTTGCCAATGTAAGCAATATCCAGCGAGTCCAACGCCTCCTTGTTGTAGTGAGGAGGTTTGGAAGCCAGATTATCAAATCCTCGGCCTTCGTACACTTGGCCAGTGCCTCCGATCATGAAACTATCCAACACTAGGTCAATGTTAGTCAAACTTATGACACACCGTTTAAATACAACTGAGCATAGAAATATATGGAAGAAATTAATTTCTTTATTATTCAACCTGAACTGCCTATTACCATGGATCTCGTAGTCTAGCTGATGATCTCAAAGGATAGGGAATTCCAATATACAAATGATCCAAGTCGATATATACTTTAGTATTCCAAGTTAACTAGTATAGGTTCATCCTAGAACACTTTTGATTGCAATTTGTTTAAATGCCTGATCATAGTGATCGCTATAAAATATAATGTACATGTTCCTGAAGATTGCTCAAATTCGGGATTTAATATAGTTATTATGTAATAATGTAAGTGATTACCATAAGTTGGTAAATACGCCATTTTAAAAATGTATCGATGATTTGGAGGATATAACAACATAATGTAAGATTTAAGTATTTTATATTCTAACCAGGGGGGCTGACCTAAATCTTTTGGCTTGAAATACCACCTACTTTAGAAGCAAACTGGTCTTCGTTTAAGAGGGTAGTTTGTTCATTCTCGGCACTACCTCTGATATCCGATATATATACTGTCCAACCACTAAAATAAGAGCCTTGATTTTTTAGGCCTAGTGTTTCAGTGGAGACGTAAACAATTGCGTTTCCACGCATTACGCATTACACATAAATACTGCAAACTGATCAAAAATATAAACTGCAAAACACCTATTTACTTACTTCCACTGAATATCTGGTAGCTGTTTCTGTTCCATCTGGCTTATCTGGAGATTCTGAATGATTCTCTTGCAATCCACATCATCAAAACAAGGCTCAGTCCCAGTATAGGTAGCAAGCACAGCTGTTATTGGTTTGTCCAGAGGTATTTTGGATTTAGGCTCAACAGCGTTCCACATAGCTCTAGGTACGATTTCTATAGAGTCTATGTCCATTCCAGGCTGCTTCATTTGTTCTTCTGCCATTTTTTCAGCTGCTTTAAATGTTTTAAAGTCACCTTGGTTGGTTCCTTGTTTTCCATTTGCGAAATCTGTGCCATCCTCACTGTACTGAGAGGGTTGGTGCTCCTGCATTCTTTTAGATGAATTTGACTTATGATATTCTGTAATTAATGTCTTCTTATTGGTAGACTTAAAGTATGATAGCGTTTGTTGGCTACCTAGTGATGTAGGGGTTCTCGAAATATCAGGAGATTTCACTGCTTCTATGGAAAGTTTCTTTTGGTTCAAAATGTGTATTCACAATTATCTAAGCATAAAGTTGTCTGGTGAAAAATCCAACAAATCTGGATGCTCTTCTACAATGTCGGAAGGCTCTATGTTGATGGATAGTTTCTTGACGATTTTCGGATGCTCTACTACGATATCCGTTGGTTCAACTGCGATGTCTTTAGATGATTTCAGAACTTTAGGGTGTTCTGTGGCAATGAAGTTTGGTTCCACGTAAATTGGGTAAAACCTTTTCACAATTTTAGGGTGCTCTTGCACTAGGAAGTTTGTGTCTATTTTTAATTCGTAGTTGACTGCTAATTTGGGATGCTCTGTTGCTATATCCCTTGGCTCTACAGATACTACGGGTGATTTACTGACTACTGCAGGGTGTTCTTCTAAATTAGATTCGACTTTTGCAACTTTTTCTCTTGTATGTTTCAATATTAATTTATCCACTTCCAATCCTAAATGAGTTGATTTTTCATCTAGCTTCTTGTGTCCTAAACTCAAATGAGATGGTTCTGCCTTTACGTTAACATTTCTACTAATTGAATTTTCTACAGTCACATATTGTGGTTCTATATCTAAAAAGTCAACTAACTTTAGATTTTCTATGAGTCTATTAGTTGGTTCAACTTTTATGTGATTTGATCCCACTGCTGTTCGAAAGTGTTCCAAAACTATATCGTCAGGCTCGACGTTAATATCGGTTGATTTAGCTAGGATTTTAGGGTGTTCAACTACAATATCAGTTGGTTCCACTTTAATATGAGGTTCTAAAAATACCTTGGGGTGTTCAGCTAGTAAATCGGAAGGCTCTACGAAAGCTTCAGAAGGGGTTAGGGTGTTGGTACGATTTGATAACCCTTCATCTAGTGAAAGCCTAGTTGGTAATAAATCAGCTGGCTCTAGTACGTTCAACAAGTCAGGATGTTCTAAAGCTAAGTCCGTGCTGTCTATGGCGATGTCCAGATCATCTAAAATATAAATAAAAATGTTAACTAATATCACTATAATGCTAAATATAAAATGTTTAATGTATATCAATCACAGGCACAATCAAATATTGGTAGTTTATGTCCATACAAACATTAACAGCCAATGTCTTATTAATGCAATCTTATGTTTAATGTTTGCTTGTTTTTTAGTGCGGATTAAAGGTGTGTTAGTCACACTAACTAATAATACTCAATTAACGATTGTAGCTAGAATATTAGCCTACCAACCTTGAACACTAAGTTTATCTTAAAACTTTAAAATGTAATAACAGAAATAAAAATCTAGTGCACCAATCTAAATTAAATCCAACTTCTAAGAACTGAAGTGTGTTAATTATAAAAGTTTCAGGGTATGTTTACTGACAAAATAAAATTGTATTGGCAAGGCTTAACATCAAAAGTAAATAATATTAATTTATCCATGATGGGGACATTTCTTTTATTTCAATTTAAAAGCAAAGTAATAAATAAAGGGATAAAATCTTATACTTCCCTTTATATCCCTCTACTGTGATAAAACATTATGACAAAAGATTGTGGTATATTAAATAGTTCAATTTAACTATGGATATCCTATTCTACCCATAACTCTCACCCATTCAGTAGGTAAATGAGTCGAATGGATTTCCTAATATGTCACGATACCAAATTGTATAAGACCTTCAATAATACAATAATGCTGACCTCGAAAGAAGATCTATGTTGAGTTTAACACAAACTTATTCTAGAACTGTTCTGCTTATCAACAAAATTATGTTTTAAACAGTTTATCTTTGAGATTCAGTTATTACGAAATGGAAAGTGATTCACTCACTGCCGTAACTTTATAAATTCAATATTATAAGGTTTCACGTATATTTTGTAACAAAAAAAATACGAAAAATTCGTAGTTAAACCCTAATAATTTACCATAGTATAGACATTGTACTCCTTGAATAGCCTTATTTATGTTATTATATTCCTATAAAATAGCAAATGTAAGTCTAAAAATTTCAAACGTTTCCTATATATTGTAAACATATCATTTGTTAACAAACATAATGAGTGAACGTCTCATGTGCCTGGAGTAAACTATATTAGTTAGTAGTATAGAGTAAACTAAACTATACTAGTTAAAGTCAATTGAAGCCATAGAATAAATATTAATTTGAGTCGGTTTGAAGGAAACTCGATATTTACTCAGAAAAATCACTAATAGATTTTTTTACAATAGATTAATAATATGTTTTCCTGCGGAGCTTCTTATGCCTCGTTTCTCTACAGCGAAGCACAGGCACATGCGTTTATCAGGGTATTTAACAAATTCACTAAAACCCATGATAAAGTCTACAACAACTACAAACTATAAACTATAATTACTAACTACAAACTACAAAATTTTCAGTAGGCCTATAGCCGAGTTGTGCTAACCTTTAAGTCTAAAGTCTGCTAGTTCACTCCATTTGTACCCATTTCATTGTGTAATTGTCCCTTCTATTAATGATGGTATCTTACACATCGCTACATAGCTAAAGTAGTTAGTAACTAAATTAATTAGTAGTTATATATCGGTGATGTAACAGAACGTTGGCGTACGGTAGTAAACTATCTTTGTACCATCCGCGCCCCCTTCTGAAACAAACTAGAAAATTGGAATGGCAAAAAAGAGACAAATCTCACTAATATTATAAATGTGAAAGTTTGTATGTTTGTTTCTTTGTTTTAAGATCAATCACGCATTAACTGCTGGACGGATTGGGCTGAAATTTGGCATGATGATAGAACACATTCCCGATTAACATATAGGCATATTCTTATCTCAAAAATCCTTTCGGGATCCACCCCAGTGGCTCTGTTGTTTCCCATGTTAACCTTATGAGTACTCGTATTTAAAGGGAATTTAAGAATTTAGTCAGCTGTTTCAACTAAAAAAAAGTTGGTTCTATGATATGCAAAAACATTAAAAAGTTATAAGATTTACCAACAGGGTGCAGTACTATTATTTTTTTTGCATTTATGAAAACTGAACTTAGCATCAACAATAAACTGTGATACGCAAGGAGAACTGTCAAAGTAGAATTGTTTACAGTTATGTTTATGTTTTTAATTGTATGAATAATTTGTGATATTTTGCGAATTTTTGATAATTTATTTGTATCTATTGTTTAGGTGAAGTGGTAGAACATTATGGCTATCGTAGATGTGTAAAACTATAATACACTGTAAATTTAAAGAAGCCTTTTTTTTCAAACTGTGTCCTCTCCCATTGCAAACGCAAAGCTTGACTATAACTGCAATAAGTATTTTATACTCATCTGCCAAACCCGTACGAAGGACGGGTACTCTGCTGGTAAAGATATAAACACAAAATGAGTTTGTGTATTATGATAGTTTAGCTAGAGAGCAAAGATTTTATTAATTACCAATTAAGATGGGGACGCCACCTACGTGCTTTAACCCAAATATGAGTGAGCCTGCCAGTTTTGAGGGACAATGAGAACATATAGAACATGATAGAACACATTAATTAAACTAAATAAGGTTTTTTAAATTCAACCAATCCACAAATCAGTCACCTAACGACTGTTATTACTCAAATAGCCTATCATGGCTGACTGCCCTTCGATTTGGTTCCGCCGCGGTTGCGTAGAGCCGCAAAAACGTCGTTTAACTTTCTATGAAACAAACCATGTTATAAAAAGCCATAGACGCGTGTGCCAGTCAGTAGTTGACACTATATCGGGCTGTAGCCATGGGTTTGCAACAGGTTAGTGTATTTGTTATATGTGTATTGGATTAACCTTTAAGGTAAGTGTGAATTTAAATGATTTGTTTACATCCAAACGTGAGTAAGTACAGTAATTGGGTCTAGCTCTGAAATTACTTTTTTGTTGCAATGTGCTTTTTTATTTTAACTTGCACAGGTCTTATTTACATTTTATGGACTAAAGATTATTTTAGGGTCCGTACAATTATAATGCCCATTTGTATGCAATTAAAAGAGATTTTATGTGTTTCATAAGGTATTTTGATAAATAGTTTTTGAGGGTTTCTTTTAGTATTTCTTTTAGCAAACAATTTAACAACCATCAACATGTTTATAGCAAAAGCATAGAATATAACCACGCTTTTGTCAATAACAACTTTAATTCCAACCTTTGAAAATAAAAGTTTGTTTTAAAGGTATCTGTAACTAACTGTAACTAAACGTATGTTTTTTTAATAGTAAATACTTGACTATTGTTATGAAACAATTGTTATTTTAATTGATCTTCAATCAGTTAAATGCATTTCAAAATGTATCTTCGAAAATGTTTAACGAATTTTTAATAATTAAAAAAAATGCGACATTTAAAGACAAAATACATCATAATATTTTTTAGTTATAAGTCAACGTCCATGCTACACCTAAAATGAAATTGTCTGTTAACACGCATGACAAAATCAAGTTATTTGAACGGAAATCATTTTGTTCCTAAACTATTATAGATTTTGAAAATTTTACAATAGGCTGTATTTTAATTACTTTCAGTAAAACTCCAAAAACAAATTAAACTATTTCCAGTGTGTACATGCTCTAGTAATGTTTTAGCTATTATGTTTAATTCGCTTAATAGAGTTTTAAGAGATAATATTACTTGAAGACCATTAAATGGTTAATCATTTATTTTTAGATTAAATACAACATTGCGGTAATAACATATACAGTGAACAAATTGTTTATCATTCATATCGTAAAATTTAAGTAACAGTAAAAAAGATTAACATATTTTAGGTGCAAAATATTTTAATTAATTGTAGGTTCAAAAAATGTTTCGTAGAAGACAGCGGTTTTTAACTTGTTTCAGATTTACAGTACTTAATTTTTACTGGTACATATTTAGTATTAGTTTCTTAGTTCAAACCAATAATGAAATAATATCGTAATACACTGAATAACCAAAAATTTTAGATTCCAAATGCATATATTTCCTTTGTATGTCTGCTTGCATTTTATTTACTCATTTAAGTTTTATTTCCATACAAATTTTTACCTTCACACACCTAAAAACCTGGTAAATATTGATATATTTTCTCATTAGTTTCAAAACGGTCGTGTGAACCTCTACGGATTAAATTTCACAGTTGATTGCATGGTAATAGTTATCATGTAATTTACGATGTAAACTCTATTTTGATAACACAACAACCAATTTGTATAGTAAAATTATAAGTATAGAAAAATTCTTGGTTCAAATTTAGCCAAATTCCAAGCATTTTGGTTTGCAAATTTGTCCCAAAATTGTGTTTACTAAAAAGTTTTGTAATTGAAAAAAAAAATCAGAAGATTCGTTTATTCTTTGAAACTGGGCCCAGATGTCCTTGATCATTATGCTTTGAGTAAATGATCCTGAAAGTAACAGCTGATCTTACTAACAAAGCTGCACAGGTCATCACTCTGTATCCCTAATCAGCTGGTAGCTATCCATCATTGTATCGCTGTCAGAATATATTAATTACTTAGTCAAGTAACAACACAAACATAAAGTGTCATCTATGTCACAGGTAGTAGCAGTATGTCTCGTAGCAGTGGTAGTATCTCTGCAAGTATGTCAAGTGTTTTCTCATCATCATGACATCGACTATCATGTAAGTGATTTTATATTAATAATTTAACAAATTATCATAAAGCTTTTAGAAATATTTATTGTTTTTGTTATAATTTTCATTATTTTTTTATCATTGTTGTTATTGCTTGCCCGTGTAACGTAGTATGACCTTAATAATTAAAAATAATCCTCAAAAAATGCTGCAAAACAGTTAGTATTGACAATGGTCCAGACAAGTTGCTCAGTTTAATAGATTGATTATATGTATTTTCCATAATAAATGGCATCCCTAATGAATAGTTTTATTTTACAAAATATGTTATTTGATTTGTTTTAAATTGTTGTGTAAAAGTGTATAATATGGTAAAAACAACAGCAAAATTTGAAAGAATATTGTGTTGTAAACTATTGTTTTTTTATATCCGAATGGAAACTAATGGGATTTCAATTAAATAATTTTTATAAGCTTAGTATGTCAGCTATGATAGCTCGGTGGTATTCTCTTAAGATTTTAAAACTAAGACTTCCAGACAAATGCAGAATGATTCCCAACAGCGATTGGATGACACGTTAAGTAATACATATACAGTACGAGAACCGACATACATTTGTTTCGACAAATAGGTGCATTTAATTGTGTTTTAGTACCCCTTATTATTCTTTATTGTCTACGCAACATCGTTATAAATTCATCAATGTCAGCTCCACCTTCCTATGGGCAAAAACACTATTTACACGTGATAGGTCAAACAATTTCCATTTAAATAACCATTATTTTATAGCAACATCCCTATACACCAAATAATCCCTATTGGCATACATATATAAGAAATAGCTTATGCATAATAGTTCATGAACCCAGAAACAAAAGCAGCAGCTCTTTAGTTATTTCCCAAATTATCAATTTGCCAATCAATTTGAATATGTCGTTAAACGTTGATTTTGGATACTAAAGTAAACATCCAAGTACACGCCGCGCCAATGTTTAATTTGTAAGCAGAAGATGCATAATAGTTAAATGTTGCTCTCATTGGGATAGTGTTGCCTATGCTAGTTATATTTTCTCCTACAGTAAATCTTACTCTGACAGTTGATGAAGACATCAAAGGTGTCTCAGCTTACGAAAAGTTGCATTTGCACTTTTTCGCGATTGAAAGTTGGTATATTTTAATGAAAAATTATTATACACCAGCACAATTTATCGTTGGCTCAATTAAAATAAACTCTCTTTTATTCTATAGCCTGTTCACTAAATTTATTTGCTTTAATATGAGGGGAAGGTCCTATGTTCCCCGTACACATTTTTAGCTTGGTGTATACAGGGTGTCCATAAAAAACGTTTCAAGACTTTAGGAAATGTATCCTCATACTAAAAGGAAGAAAAAAGTTTATGGGAAGGTATGTCCGAAAATCCATATTTACCCAGATATCTGCCATTTTGTTTATTATACAAAAATATTTTTATCTGTGAAGTTTTTTATTCGATGATTATGAAACTTGGTAAACATGTTACCATACACAAGACCTATAATAAAAAAATAATAAAGTTGTTCCGATTGTAAATTTCAAAATGGCGGCCGTTTGAATTTTTCTAACTTAAATAACTCGAAAACGGCTAATTCTATGAAAAAACGTCAAGAATACTTTTTTTTAGCATTTTTAATTTCCTATCAAACGATACCAAGATCAAAAAGATCGGACAAAAGATAACTGAAATATAATGGTTTTTGTGTAAAAATAAGGCAAAGTTAGTCGGGGAACCCTTAGTTTTTACCTTATTTTTACACAAAAACCATTATATTTCAGTCCGATCTTTTTGATCTTGGTATCGTTTGATAGGAAATTAAAAATGCTAAAAAAAAGTATTCTTGACATTTTTTCATAGAATTAGCCGTTTTCGAGTTATTTAAGTTAGAAAAATTCAAACGGCCGCCATTTTGAAATTTACAATCGGAACAACTTTATTATTTTTTTTATTATAGGTCTTGTGTATGGTAACATGTTTACCAAGTTTCATAATCATCGAATAAAAAACTTCACAGATAAAAATATTTTTGTATAAAAAACAAAATGGCGGATATCTGGGTAAATATGGATTTTCGGACATACCTTCCCATAAACTTTTTTCTTCCTTTTAGTATGGGGATTCATTTCCCAAAGTCCTGAAACGTTTTTTATGGACACCCTGTATATCAACTTATCAGCTGTCGCCTATTGTTTTAAAGTAAGGGGGTGGAATCCCTTGCCCTCAAAGTGCCTAAATCCTGTGAACCTACTGTATAAGAGTGGGTACAGTGTTATCTTCTTTAGTAATAGTTTAAGTTCAACACCGTAAACCTTGTTTTACCTCTATCTTTGCGATTCCAGGCACACCCCCACTACAAGTTCGACTACTCAGTGCACGATCCTCACTCGCACGATGTGAAGAGCCAATGGGAACACCGTGATGGCGACAAGGTGCACGGGGGTTACTCCGTGCACGACCCTGACGGCACAGTGAGGCATGTGGAGTACACAGCTGATAAACACAACGGGTTCAATGCTGTCGTAAAGAAGACTGGCCACGCTCACCATCCTCATGTCTACGGTGACGCTAACCCCCACGGCTACCCCCATCACTGACGTCACTGTTCCAGAACCTACATTTCATTACTACCCATCACCCCCATTGTCGTAAATAACGTAAAATTTACATTCTAACGTCTTTTTAACCCCTGCTTTGTGAGTGATGTGATAAATAATACTCACCTGAACTTCGTTTGGCTCTAAATAATGCTTTGATGTAAATAATATTGGGATAAGATACGACAAAAAACTAATTATTTAGTTTTCCAAATGTCACTCAAGGAGGAATTCTGATATTCTGGCTGTGCAAAACCGAGACATAAACATAACCTATCATGCGAAGGACTAGCCGGAGAGGGGGAAGAAAGGATGAGATCGAGTATCTTCCACGGGAAAGTAATTATAAGTTAAAAGAAATTTTTTAAGAATATGTTTTTATTTTTCTACAGGTATACCGTTTCAATAGCCACTGATTTAAATACCAATGAAGCAGAGTACGGTTTAAAGTGTTTGCATATTTTTCAGAATTATAGAGAGTCCTTTTCTAATTTCCCTAGGAGTTTTTTTCGGGCATACGTAGCAAAACTGGCGACCGTTCAGGGACATATGACAAGTGACAACCCTAAGCCAAAGTGTTCGCTTAGTTTTAAACTCATAGACTTCATAAACCCGAAATAGCCCAAATTAGTCGTTGTATTATTTAGAGCTAATCGACGACTTGTCATGAGTAATGTCATGAAAAGCATTTTCTTTTACTGGCCTTAAATCTAGTTTACTTTAGTATTCTACGTTTTATGACAAAATTTCAATAGCACTAAATTTATTACTTTCATTCAATCCCTTTCGTAAAATGCTTCATTTTCTGTTTTTGTTATTTTTACGAAATTCTACGATAAAATTTCTTTATTTATCCCTCCCTTAGCTTTTGATGGTAACAATTATATTTTAAACAGCTACCTGAAGCCTAACATAAAAAAGTGATATTCCTAATTATTAGCTTCTTTTCCGCCAACAAAAATGGCTTTCATTGAAATCACCACCCACGAACACATTTTTCTCCATTATTAATTTAGTAACATCATAATTATTCATCTTGCATCCAAATCTCATTTTCAACATACCATTTTTCTTGTATTTATTCAGTTATTGTTTTTCTTATAACCTTTTTAATAGTTCTGTCATTTGTATACTTATTGATCAATGTGTTAAAGTATCTGGGGTTGATCTTTTGATAACTGTCTGTGATCTTGTTTAAGATGTTGATTATTGTATTCTTATACTACGTCTATGTATCGTGTAATGAATTAATAAATATATTTTTATAATATATGAGTTATTTTCAAACTATTCCTTATTAACTTAATACGTTAGTCAGTTTGGAATTAAATTACTATTTACAGTAAGTATAAAATAGTAACTCTTAATTATTTTGAATACAAAGTCGGTATTTTTTATCTTTTACACACACCAAACTAAACGTCTGGATTCCTCGTGATGGTAAAAAGTGCAAATCATAAAAATGTACATTAACAATTAGAATAAAATTACACAATAATTAAATAATCACTTTAAAAATCCTTTAAAACAAAAGGCTTAAAACTAAAACATAACGGTTGGCATCACTCCTTCAACTGAAGCAATACTGCACAGTAGCATTAACGTTTTTGATTGCGTTTCAGACTTTGTAGGCGTACCTAAATTATCATTTACAGTGCTGTAAAAGCCTTGATTCAAACTATAAAACATATGATTTTGCGAACTAAGTACAAACATTGAAAAATTTATAAATATGAATACCTTATCAACTTTTTAACGATTAAGTTTTAAACTAGCTATACTAGTTGCTTCAGTTAATTTCTTACAATGTTTTACAATGAAATACACATTAACCTATTTATGTCCAAACAAACTTTTATTCTTATTCCCTCTTGAATCTTTAGGTTTAGGACTAACAATTAGTATGGCCATGCAATACAAAGTCAATAATTTATAAAACCTTAAAGTAAACTCATTGACTTTCAATAGTAATTAATTATTACACATCACATAAATATATATCTCGACTACAACCTTCTATATCACAGACCAATGAAATTGCTCTGTTATTATTAATTAATCGTGTAACAATTAAAAAATTTCCCTTGCTAAGCTAATTAGTAAAGTTTGGAATAATTATGCATTTTTTAAATCTATGTTTTAAATTGGTCCTACTATGTTACTCTATATTACTGTATACATTACATTGGATTATCTTTGTGTAAATTAATTTACTCAAATCGCTTAGTTTTAAGAAATCCCAAGCAGTTTTTCTGAAAAAATCTTGGCTTTTCTAACCCGTTTTGGCTAATTTGGACCAAGAAATGTAGTTCACCTGCAGTGTGCTATCTTGAAAGGTTTTTCTCAATAAAACAATTAGACGACTTATAAATATTTTCTTCAACTTCTCTCAAGTATCTAGCATACACCTGACACAAAAATAAAGTTAATTTTTGCTTAACATTGACTAAATACTATTCTTATTCCTCCTAAATGCACAAGGTCTGCTGTAAATTGATCAACAACAATGAGACAGCTGACAGCAAAATCAGCTGATGAGATCTATTGTTGACCAGATGGGAAAGTGTTGGGAACAGTATGACCTTGAAGCACGCCATGTACAATTGGAGGGGGGGGGAGTGTGGGACTGGTTTGTTGTTTAGTTACTTTAATCCATTACTCCAGTGCAGTAGGTGCTATGTGCTTTTGTATTCAACATGTTGTGTTGTGTAACTTCTGTTAGGATGTGTTGCTGGTAGCTGAAAGTTTTAGGTCACCCGTTGATGTCCTACTTCTTGGCCACTTTCACCTCAACAATGGTTCGTAAACTCACTGAACAGCTTCCTAAGAAATGAGAGACACTTTGAAAACAATTTTTTGAATGCTATTTTTCTTTTGATATTGTAAAATAATGGTTACTTGAAGGATATAAGACCTCTCAAGAGGTGAACAATGATGTTCAAGTACAAATATATTTTTGCAGTGTTGGTAGCAGTTATAATCACACTGTATATATTTTTCACATCTTACACCGAGCCAGAGTATTTACGGTTTGTGGAATTCACTCCATCGTTCAACTCCACAAACATCCTTGGATTAGAGTTGACTTATGTCGTAAGAAACAACTGTACAAGAGAAAGTGGAATTAGAGCGATACAAATAGTAACATCATATGCAGGAAATATAGAAGCGAGAAGTTCTTTGAGAAGAGCGTATCCGAAAGAGGAGCTTGGAAAGTTAGGTATTTATCGAGTGTTTTTACTCGCTATGCTGAAACCAGGTGTAAGCGAAGTCAGTCAGAACGCAATACTCCATGAGACCGAAAGGTACAACGACATTGTTCAAGGGGATTTCATCGAAAACTATAGGAATCTCACATACAAACATCTCATGGGCATTAGATGGGCGGTTACCGAATGTGAGGCAGACTATGTAATCAAAATGGACGATGACATTATCGTCGATATGTATTCTTTGATGAAACTCGTCGAGTCTAAAGAAAAAACAAAATATGACATAATGGGTTACATATTTAAAGACATGAGACCAATACGACTGACTGCAAACAAATGGTATGTAACAGAAGATGAGTATGAAGCAAATAGTTATCCTACGTTTGTCTCAGGATGGTTGTACGTTTTACGCTTTAACAGCGCTAAAAAATTACTAACTCCGCTAAAACATGAGAGGTATTTTTGGATCGATGATGTTTTTGTTACTGGGATGCTGGCAGAAAAAGTGAACGTCTGTTTTGAAAACATGGAAGAATATTTTACAACCAATCCGGAGTATTTTGAGTGCTGCATGAGGGACGAAGTCGAGTGCGGATTCATCGTTGGACCGAGTGGTGGAGACTACAATATCAACATAGACTTTCAAAAGCACTCGGAAAAGTGTTTCAACAGTAACTGCACTCAATACAAAAATGGTAAAACTTTCCGTAATTCCTGTGTTGTCAGTAGGAAGAGGCCGCCAATTGGAAAAGGATTTGCCAAATTAGATGTGGTTAAATTATGAAAATATTTTTAATGCCATAAAATTTGAGCTAACATTAAACGCCATAAATTTGATTTGTTTGCTAGTTAATATCGTAAAGTTGTTGCATACCCTGTAATGCCATAATGGTCTACCATATCAATAAATCAATGAACAATCTAGTCAAATAAGTGGAAAACTACCTTTTTGTTAACAATTTTGTTCTTTTTTAAAGATTAATATTTTTACAAAGAGATTTGTTTCAATGTGTTTAATTTAGTCTTGTTTATATTTTAATTTGTTTTGTTTTCAATAAACCATTACTAATATCTATTTTTTTTAACTACAATTATTAACCTATTCTTCAGAGTTAAGGAAAAGTTTAGATTTTGAGGCTACAGCTTAGGAATTCTGCCAAATTAATTTTCTTCAATAATAATGTAAAAGGCGTGGGGAAAAGCAGTAATATCAATAAGGCGCACTATTCTTTTTTTTAGACTGATAAAGGGTTTATACCAAGTTAGGAATAGCAATAGCTTAATGTGGTTTTTAATTGAAGCTTTACTAATATTGTTTGCATTATTTTGGTACCCATCCACTAATCATTATCTGCTGCAAAATAATGAATAGTGGATTTCTTCAAATTCCTTCAGAGTCACATAGTTTAGCCAGTGTTTTTTATTAGAAACTTAGTTAAATTAAACTTTCTCACAAGTTGTGGTAAAATGAAAGTCTTAATCCTTTAATAATCCTAACTCAAATATTGGTATCACAAATGTAATATCACTTGTTTGTTTTAAAATAATCTAATTTCCCTGCATAATTATAAAATTTCCACTACAACCTATCTATATAATGAAATGAACATGGAATTTAATTAAATGAACTTGCATAGGAAAGCATATTATAAGTCATAAAGCATATTTTATACATAATTTGTATAACATCAGTTTACAGAATTAATGTCAGAAAACCAACTAGACGTTCTATTTAGTAAACAGAAAAAAACAAGTTTCCACAAATTAAACCAACATTAAAAGGTTTTAACTGAAAATAAATTTTTGGTGTAACAGTTTTCACCACACATTATTAGTTGTTACATAAAAATGCCATACACTGTATAGATTTAAGAATCAAAATGCATTAATCGACAATCGTATAGAAAACTGATAGTGGTGTAGTATATAGAAAACTTTTAAAAATGCTACTTTTAAAAAGATTTTATTACTTCTAATTACATTACAGTTGCAAAACTAGACTACAGAAAGAAAATAATGTTATGCTGTGGGAGATTGCAAAGCTGCTTTTTACTGACCAACAATTAAACTTAATGAAGTAAGGCTAAAATCAAATTCAAGTTTAATATTAGTAGGTAGTGGTCCCTTCTATAGTCTTCAGTCAATTAGCCCTCAACCTTTCCCGCCTCAGTTTCTACAGGCAAATTCCAAAATCAGAGGTGTCTTTTCAGCTATCTACCTACCGCCTCTCTAACTTCCACTTCCACCTCTCTATCAGTTCTTTTCCCATTGTAAATATCATTATCATTACATTTTGACACAGAAACACAGTGCTGTGCATTTTAACCTGATAAAGAGCAAAGAATAAGCGTTGAAGGTAGTGAGATGAGACTATAGGACTGACTGTGGCATTATTTAATCAGACTATTAATTGAATGTTTAGTAATCAATGACTCCTGGGTCTACTGTTGAAGCATCAAACACTTAACTTACTGACGTCTCAGGATTGAAACAGCAACATTCTGAGCAGTGGGTATGAACTAAAACAACTCAGCTAAACTACAGTAGCTGTGCTTAGAAACTTAAGGTAAGACAAAAACTAAATCTGGTTTTAGAATTTTAGACACCCCATCTACGTATCAACATTTTTACCTTCGATCGAAGATAATAACAGTTGTAATTTGCACACTACCTCCCAAACCGATGCTATGATATCTTGAACCACCTGAATTTTACATTTTTACACAAACTTACCATTCCTACAGTTCAGACCTGCATTTTACCAACAGCTAAGCCTCAGAATCTTCCATCTCATCCTTCTGCATCCCATGAACCCTTACCGAACTTAAAAGAACACCATCAAAATCTACTCTCCAAATAATCCAAAACACACATAACCTCACCCTCACCACCTTTGTGATGCTCTCAGCATATGTTATATCTCCTACTATGCTGAAAAAGGCACATACCTAGCGCCTCAGTTGGCACAACATTCAACATCCTACAGCAAGGACTTTCCAGAAGTGACGCCTGCTACTTTCTCTCACACTTTACTTGAGTTAAAAAAGTATTTACTTAGTAGTAAAAAGTATTTACTTTGTTAGTTTCTGATTTTAAAAATAATTTAGATAGTATATGGTTTTTATGTGATTTTTAAAATTACATAAAGTAAAGAAAAAAATAAGTTGTTTTACTATGGAGATGCATTTGTTTCAACAATCACATAAGACCATTTATTCATGCAATGTTTGTAGCATTAGTAGCGTTAAAACATTATTAAATAATTAAATAAATTTTAGCTTGTAGGAAACGCAGTATGTAAGAGTGTAAGTTTATCAATTAAGTTTTCTAACCCTTTTTCCAACAACTTGGTAATCAAAGTAATTTCTATGGGGCGTAATTAAAGCTACAAATCAAATGGATCAAATGTTGAAACTATTGAGCAATAATAATAAACTTATTTGTTCCTGGACTAAAAAAAAAGTCATAAACTAAAAAGGGCTTTGGTTTCAGCAAAACAAGAAGGTATAACACAAAGTGACTCAACATATTAATTGGTCTTTTGAGAGACTTGTTTGCTTAACGCTGAATGATAACTGGCTTCAATGATTGTTGAATGATTGTTGCCAACAGGCTAGACAAAGTCCACCCTGACAGGCCAGAATCCAGACAACTTGGAAGTCAGCATCGTTATTGACGGAATACGCCCTCAGCTATTTGATATTGTATTTTAAAAATAGACTACTGGACTTTGCATCCTACTAGAACACCATGATTTCAAAACGTCAGATATAACGTTTAACACTAAATGTTATAAGTTATAACACTGTCAGGAAGTTTCACCTCTAAAATAACACCCTGTATTTCAGGTAATGAGGTAATTTAACACTAAGGCACAGAGAAGTAATATAAATATATTATATTATATTATATATTATTGAGCGGAGCGAGCGAAGCTCTTATACGTCGACTCTTATGCATTTCGTAATACGCAAACTCCTCCTAGACGGCTGAATCAATCGTTTTCAAATTTTGCATAGTGATAAAGACCATATCGTTGAGTGCCAACATCTATATGGCGTTAAATAAGTCTCTCAGGAATCCGCCCCAATGGGTCACAAAGTTTCAATGTAATCCTTATGAAAGCAGTATTTGACACAAACAAAAACACAAGTATGATCAGCTGTTGACTTTTGAATGCAGTAGATAAAGAAATAGCTGATAGCATTAATTCACAGATATTAGAACAGAAACGGTATGGATCATAAATATAATCAAATGACGACACTAGCTTGAGGTCCGTGACGGAAGTAGTAGTGGTGAAGGAAGTAGTAAAGGTGAGCAGTCTGGAGTGTTGAAACTGTTTGTGACGATTAGATTTAGGTATCAGTATTCCTAAAATGATATGGGAAGGGAGGAAAACGGGTCCGCGACGTAGGAAGTGGTGAAGGAAGTAGTCAAGGCGAGCTGTCCGGAGTGTGGGTACTGTTTATGACGATAAAATTAAGGTATCTGCATTCCTAAAATTCTATGGGAAGGGAGGAAAACGGGTCCGCGACGTAGGAATTAGTGAAGGAAGTAGTCAAGGCGAGCTGTCCGGAGTGTGGAAACTGTTTATGACAATTAGATTAAGGTATCTGCATTCTTAAAATGATATGGGAAGGGAGGAAAACGGGTCCGCGACGTAGGAAGTGGTGAAGAAAGTAGTCAAGGCGAGCTGTCCGGAGTGTGGGTACTGTTTATGACGATTCGATTAAGGTATCTGCATTCCTAAAATTTTATGGGAAGGGGGGAAAACGGGTCCGCGACGTAGGAAGTGGTGAAGGAAATAGTCAAGGCAAGCTGTCTGGAGTGTGGAAACTGTGTATGGCAATTATATTAAGGTATCTTGTTGGTGTATTCCTCCCTTCCCATAGCATTCCTAAAATGTTATGGGAAGGGAGGAAAACGGGTCCCCGACGTAGGAAGTGGTGAAGGAAGTAGTGAAGGTGAGTCGTTCGGAGTGTAGGAACTGTTTATGACGATTAGATCAAGGTATCTGCAATCCTAAAATGCTATGGAAAGGGAGGGAAATAGGTCCGTGACATAGGAAGTGGTGGAGGAAGTAGTAAAGGCGAGATGTCCGGAGTGTGGGAACTGTTTATAACGATTAGATTAAGGTATCTGCAATCCTAAAATGCTATGGAAAAGGAGGGAAACAGGTCCGTGACATAGGCAGTGGTGAAGGAAATAGTAAAGGCGAGTTGTTCGGAGTGTGAGATCTGTTTATGAACAATAGATTAAGGTATTTGTAATCCAATAATGCTAAGGGGAGGGAGGGAAACAGGTCCGAGACGTAGGAAGTGGTGAAGGAAGTAGTCAAGGCGAGTAGTCCAGGGTGTGGGAACTGTTTTTGACGATTAGATTAAGGTATCTACAATCTTAAAATTCTATGGGAAGAGAGGGAAACAGGTCCGCGACGTAAGAAGAGGTTAAGGAAGTAGTCAGGTGAGCAGTATGGAGTGTGGGAACTGGAAACCGTCTGTAGCAGTTAGATTAATTTATTTGCAATGCTGAAATGCTATGAGAAGGGATGGAAGCACAACATACAAAATGGTGAAAGAAGTAGTAAAGGCTAGCAGTGCGGAGTGTGGTCAATGTTTGTGGCAGTTAGATTAACGTATCTAAAATACTAAAATGCTATGGAAAGTGATGAAAACAGGTCCACGATGTAGGACGTGGCTCAGGAAGTAGTATAGTATGAGCATAGTGGGAGAACCGTCTGTAGCAATTATATTAATGTATCTTCAATCCTAAAATGCTATGAGAAGGGAAGGAACCAGGCCCCCGCGACGTAGGAAGTGGTGAAGGCAGTAGTAAAGGCTGGCAGTGCAGAGTGGGGGAACCGTTTATGCAGTTAGATAAATGTACCTAATACTTGAATGCTATGAGAAGGGAAGGAAACAGGTCTATGACGTAGGATATGGTGAATGAAGTAGTAAGGCTTGCAGTGCAGATTGTGGGAATTAAAACACACAGTTTGTCTTTCACACAGTTGTTCTTTCAGTTTTTCTTTGGCAATTCCATTAATGTATACTGCAATCCTAAAATGCTATGGGAAGAGAGGGAAACAGGTCCACGACGTAGGGGGTGGTGAAGGAAGTAGTAAAGGTGAGCAGTGTTGAGTGTGGGAATGGATTAATGTATCTGCAATGCTAAAATACTATAGGAAGAAACTGTAGACTGTAGGTGCACAACACACAACAATTTTTAATGATTACGAAGCACGAATCGATACTTATTTCGATACATGCAACCGTTTACAATAGAAATTTACAACTGAGTAGACAACAGCTGATTTTTACTCCATAGAGGCTAAAAACGATGTTTACTCTATAGACGCTAAAAACGATTTTTACTCCCTAATGAGTAAAAATGCTACTTTAGACCCGCAACGCATGCATTAAAAACGACTGTTTTTACTGCAGTATGACAAAAAACAATATAATATGAACCCTTGATGGCTCCGCTCAATTTTGTGGATGCCTCTGCGAACGCCACCTAGTATATTATATTTATATTAATTCTCTGTGACTAAGGTCAGATCAGGCTTATTGTATTTATTGTATTGTTTAGGTGCAGACTCAAGGGTCCCAGGGCGTCAACTGAAGTATTGTGCATTTCCCAATTGCCACCAACTAGGCAAGGCGAGGCGTTGCCCGTGTTCTTGACCAGGTCCGGAAGCCCTACCCAATATTAGTGTCTGGTTCATCACCTGGCTGCTTTTGACCAAATATAGAGCAGTTCTCCAGTCTCCTAGCACCAAGTCTGTAGAAATCCAGAATCTATGTGCTTTCAGTCTCATCGGATTGGTTGCAAAATCGACACTCCAGTTCTCATTCTTGATTCCCAGAGTTTGATGGTGTTTGCTGAAATACCTGCTTCTTGACCCTCATAAGACCTAAGGGTTGATCCTCTATGGCCTTCTTTGAAGGTCCTTCTGCCAAGGGTGCGGAGAGGCCATTGCGTCTCCAGGGCTCTTGGCCACCCTCGTCCTGACATTCGGACCATCAGTTGAGTATGGTGTTTCTCTGGTCTTCTTATATAACAGTTTTCTTATTCTCCATAAATGATAACATATCCTTTTTTTAATTTTCTCGGTAGTTAATAAATAGTAAAAAAGCCCCTTCAACGTAAATATTGTTTATTAAGATTTTTTAAATGGTAGAAAAGTTGAGAAATTTCATGTTTTGAGGTGACCCATTAGAAAACTTATTTTTACCTCATAAACCCCCGTTCCCATGGTTTGTTTGCTGCCTAAAATTCCGTCCTACATATCTATTCTCTAAGTCACATTCAATCAAAATCAGACAACATTTATCGCGTTCACGGACATATATATAAAACCTTGGATTCATTTAAATAAAAACTAAGTACTGTCCCCTTTAAAAAATAATTGTATTAGACATCGACAACTAACAACTAGTTTCAACATTTATGCCATACCAATGTCATATATGTTCATATTAATTTTAAAAGTGTACTTACTTCTTACTTTTTAATAATGTATAAATATCAAAAAGTAGCGCTTTTCTAGTGGGGCCTTGCCTCTAGGGAGGGGAGGCCAAAAATATATGAAAAAATATTTTTTCAATACATGAACAAGTATATTGATCCAGGGCGTAGGTCTTGCCCAAGATGGTCTTGCCATAGATAAAACCATAGATAAAACATACTCCTCATAAAACAAAACCTTTGACTATGTTTATACATTTGAACGTAGTATAAATTATCATTTATATACTCTTCAGAATCCAATAGTCAATGATAGAACATACTCTCATAGTAGGCTAGATTTTCCATCCTTGTGGAACAGCTGAAGCCAAATTTTATCGTTAGTTCTGTCCGGTGCACTGTAGAGGTCGTGTTTGTTGACATAGTTTCTTGTTATTTCAAACAATTTAAAACACCATTCAACCAAATAAATCAATATAATCATAAAATAACTCATCCTCAAGTCATATAATAAAAAAGGAAAGCACAAATCATTAATAACTTCAAAATAGTGGAAACAAAATCTCGTTGACACTATAGCCACCAGTGTCACCGGACATGAACTATACACGAAAAACGAGCGATGGGGGGATGGGAAGTATAACATAGATAAAACATACTCCTATGGTTATAACTTGTGCTTCTGTTGGTTGGTTGGTTAGTCTGTGTTGGTTAGTCTATGGTCCTATCACTTACCATGCTACCTACGGTAATATATAACTACCTACTTACCAATGGGGAAATTATCTGAAAGTGAAATAGAACCGAATTATAGCTATAAATCACACTCTCCCTTATAGATTTTCATCGCCCTTATGGTGTAGCTGAAGCCAATTTTATTGTTAGTTCTGTCCGGTGCACTAGAAGTCTTGTATTGTTTACAGGTTGTTGTTATTTCAGACATTTAAAACCTTGTTTAACAAACTTCTAATCATAAACGATAAGTTGCCTCCTAATTATATTTATATAACCAAAGAGTAAAGCACAAATCATGAAATTAAACCTAAAATAATATAAACAACACTTTCACCAACACAAGTGATCAGTGTCACCGGACATGAACTAGACACGAAAACCAAGCTTGCAAATTTAAATTGAGATGAGTGAGAAGTCTACTTGTGTTGGTAAGTCTATGATAATATAAAACAATGATTCTGCATTTTATGAAACTTTTCTGCTTCATGGTACTATTTTTGCTTACCCTTTTTTATGGAATTAGTCGAAAGCTTTGAAAAAAACGTGCCAGAGTAGAGCAGAAGATAAAGGTAGAGTAGAGTGGTAATTTACTCAGGGGAGGTATAGAAGAGGCTACGATGACAGCTGTGGGCTTCTTATTAGCTGAGAGTGTTTCATCTATGGAGAAAGCCATTACCGTAACAAAACGGTCAGTAGCCATCGGCCTCGGTAGTCAAGTGGTTAGCGTGCCGGGCTGATATACTGTTGGTCCCGGGAATTTTAATCGAGCAAATTCTAGTTTTATTAATAAACAGAATTATTTTTCCGATTACTAAACTTTTGTTATATTATTTCTTTATCAGCAAGTTTGGTTAGTTCGGTTAGGTTATGATAGTTTAATTTTATAATTAAAAAATAATAAAATTGAATTTGAGACATTTATAATTTTATTTTATGAACAGAACTATTTTTGAGATTAGTAAACCTTCATTGCCAAAATGCTCTCTACTACAGCGCTGTTCACGGAGGAATTTTGAACTAAATGCCTCATTCGTACCTCCCCTAAGTCAGACCCGAGTAGAGTTTGAGCAGAAGACAAAACAAAAGGCCTGTCAGCTGTGTCAGTTTACTTAATTAAGCCCCGTTCACACGGGGCGAGTTTACAAGCTACACGCCAGCGTGTAAGAAGCCGGCGAGTTGGCGAGTGTGCTTGTATTCGTTCACACGGAGCTTGTCCACTCGCCAACTCGCCGACGTGGAGAAAGACGCCGGCGAGTCGGCGAGTGCGCTTGTAGTCGTTCACACGACGCTTTTTCCACTCGCTCAGTAGCTGGCTTGAACCAAATCCTCCAACATCTTTGAGTAACGAGCGCACAAGCACAAGCAACTGTGTTCACACTGGGCTACTTTCCACGCCTACTCGCTCAAAAGCTGGCGAGTTGGCGTGTAAAGTAGCGGCAGCGTCAACTTTTTCCAGAGCTTTTTTACAAGCAGCTTTTGAGCGAGTACGTCGTTCACACTGAGCTATTTTACTAGCTGCGTGTAAAAAAGCGGGCGTGTAGCTTGTAAACTCGCCCCGTGTGAACGGGGCTTTACGGTACAGGCAGTCATTACTCATTATTTAAGTTTTAAGTTAACCGATGAAAGAAACATAAACAACAAAGGAATTGGAATAATTTGAAGGTTAGTCACAGTTGAGTTCGCGTGTATGTCGCTACATGGTCTAAAATTTGTCGTTCTCTCAAAATTCTCAATAATTTGGTTATACATATTAGATTATTTAATTTCTCAATAGTAATAGACTTAGGCCTAAGTATATCAAAATTCTTCGTAAGTATTATGAGTTACCAACGTCTTAGATAGGCCTTCATACAATCACTATTATTTATTTCATTATTAGGTTCCCCCTAATTCATTAGGTCACAGCTTTCCTTGACTATTATGGATGCCGTTTTATCACAAGACTTGTTATCCATGTTAGATGATTTTTTAAAGTTTAATCTCCAGTGTTTAATTTCTATTCAAATGTAACCTAGCCTAGTCCCTGAATCTCACTATTCTGTTTAAGGATAGGCTAGTACACCAGTGGTGTTGCCGTTAAGTTTAATTTTCCAATGCGGGAGCACACCATCGCCTTGAAAAAAAAAGTAAATAACAGGTCACCATTTTTATAATTTTATTAACTAGGCCTATATACGTCAGGCCCTAAGCTATATGATTTCGGAAAAAGCATAGGGTTAATTATGCCTATTTCTGCTCCACTAGGCCTACACCACTGTCTGTTTATACTTGCTACTACAAATTTAACTCAACCAGTTTTAGCACTATTCAGGCCAAGCTAGGAATGATCAACGTGAATCTGCCAATGACTTCACTGGCATATGACTACCTTTATTAAGTGGGCCCTATTCCTGGTACAGGTTCACAGAGATCCTATGATAGCCCATATTATTGGATGAACCTGTACAATATAACTTATAGGCTAAATATCTGCTGCTAAGTAATCGGTAGGCTAAGTTATGTAAAAAAGGGCCGCACCTGACTCTCTTACTGTGTGTTGTGGCATATAAACTGAGGTTAGTTTAGTTTAGATCAGATATAAGTTTATGATAATGATAAGGAAAAATACTGTTAAAAAATGTAGCCTAGATACCTTTCTATCAACTTATGAAAAAGAAGACATACAAATTTACGTCTTTGTAAATTTAACAATTTATGCCCACATAAAGTTTTCCAATTTACTTTTTATTTTAGATGGTTCCCTCCCATCAATCTTTGTCAAAGGAAGCTGAACCTCCCTCATAAGTTCATACCAGAATTTACCTAAAGGGGTGTCAAATCCTCAATCCAAAGTGCTGTCCCTGTCACCTAGTCGAGAAGACTATTTGAAAACACCAATAGATCAGACCTAATGGTCGTCAAAATTGACAGTAGGGCCAGTGGGTAAGATTAACACCCTAAACAACACATTCCAGGCACGCTTTTTTATGTCCTGAGATTTTGTTTCATTACAGTCAACTGATGATAATACCTAGTGATAATCTGATACAACCTATTGGTCACCGATAATAGTTTCATTATTCAAGAAAATAATACAGGGCTAAAAAATAAGTATGTAACTTCAGTTGTATCGTTTAAAGTATTTTATAGCCCATTGTTAAAATTTTTCTAGCTGAAATAAAACACTGTGTTATATAGACATTGTTTAAAATTCATTTTTCCTATACACCTTGGTACTGCATAGGCTATTTTTAGCATATGGCGAGTTAACCGTAAAATTGGTTATCCGAAATGGCTCTCCCCTTTTTATTTCGGTTAACCGAGGGTTCTAATGTATTGTAAAATTACTACCTAACTACCTTTCAGTTAGAAACCCTTCCTTTTTTTATGGATCATTATTCCATATCTAGTTGTTAAACCAGATTTTGCTTAACCCTCCGAGTGTCATGCGTCGCTGCAGCGACGCGTAACGCACTTTGTATAGTGTCGTGCGTCGCTACAGCGACTCGCGAACACTGTTTACGGCGAAGGCTCTATGACTAACTGAATCGGACTGTACTGGATTGAGTTAGGTATCGTTCTTTCCGTAATATTCTAAGCTTTCTCCAGAGGTCTGTCTCTAAGCACTATTCATTTTAGTTCCGAAAATATTGTAGCAGACAGCTGACTGAGCTGACGTGCGTGTATTTGTAAACAGCTAGGTTACCCTCGGACCGATGACTGATGTGTTTTATTACATTTATCATTGTTTTAGTGTTAAAAATCAAAAGTAGTGATATACGTGGTGCATTATAAGAAGATTTAAGTGGTTTTGAAGTGCTGGTTGATGATCCTGAAGAAGTAGGTAGTGATATTGATGTAAATTATCAGCCAGATTCCTAGCTATGGTTGGGCTATGCATTCTTAGCTAAACGCTATGTACTGAAATCTGTTTTTTGCCCATAACTTATTTATTTGCAAATCTACTTCCTTATATTATTATATATTTGTAATCCTCATAAAATTTAGAACAAAGTGGCTATTTTCAAATATTTATAGGCCTATAATTTATACAATTTCATTGAGCGCAAACTTATTTTTTTTTTTAAATTTTCGAAATTATACATTTTTTTTTACCTAAAAAATTTTTTTTAAAAAAATCTTCCTTATGTTTTATATATAATATTGAAGCCCAAGATTTTCCAAACAAAATGGTATATAGAACAGTATAATTAACATTGTTTTTAAGCTTCTCAGATCAGTTTTAATAAAACCTTGCAAATGAGCAAAAAATAGGCTGACATTAAGGCCAAAACACGTGACACTCGGAGGGTTAAACACATTAACTTTATTTCTTTCTTTCCAGGAATGTTTTAACTTGTTGACCAAAGATGCTGATAATTTTAACAAGTTTGGTTTTCGCCTTCTCTCGTGGGTCGGTGTCAGCCCTAGAGGTAGTTTCTGTTACCTCCGCTGTCAATGCTACCACTCCTCCGGTATGGGACTACTACAACAAGCCAGTGATGTATTACCAGCCCGAGCAGGTCCACATAGCTATTGGAGGTGAGTTTTAGCTTATTTCAAAGTTAATTACGGTACGTAAGACAGTGGGTTTAAATGACTCTATGTTACTAATGATGTAATACAACTAGGTACTAGGAGTCTTGATTTTTCAATCTTCAATTAAATTTGAATCTCCAAGTAATCCAGCCCTCTTCTTCTGGAAAATTGAGGTTTTTCAAGAAGACTTTTTTGCTTTCACAGTGTACTGCAGCGATTAGGCTAGGTTTAGTTTCCTGTACTTCAATAATTTGGCTTGGTTTACCTAATATTTACGACCCAGTGCACTGAACACATACATTAGTGGCGGGCGGTACTCTACAACTTTTCTTGAAAATCCCTACCTATTCACATTTAGGCCTAATCAATATTTACACTCAATATTATAGGCTAGGTATTGAAATATTTCAATCGATATATATTGTACCCGTACATCAACAAATTTTTCATCTGATAATATATATTGTAGGTTCTTTATGGAACTGTACTGGTACACTGATGCAGGTCAGTTAAAAACCTCCTCTGTCCTCATGAAATACATGCCAGGCTTGTATTGGCAAAGGCACTTGAATGTACTCTCAAATTGTTTTAACGTGATGGATATCATTCCCTCCATAAATTTCTCATATCTTCACACCGTTTATGCCTTAGTCGCAGTGTGAACGGAGATCTGTGGCTGAGTAGATGAAATAGCTTAATTAAGCTGTCCATAAACATGTTTCACAATCTTTTCTGAGGATCCAAAGTCATCTAATGTGTTCATTTAAGTAGGCTATTCAACAGTTTCATTCTGTAATTTAAAATAACTTCTGATTACCAACACAGAGAAGTTTGGTTAACAGTGATTCAATGATACAACCGAGTCGCGGGTGTCTAGGGCAAAGTGTTCAACACCACCCCCTTACCCTCATGTCCTGCAGCGCTCACGGTGGAGGAAGACCCTGTGCTCTGTGCGATAGGAATTTCCGCACAGTGTGCACCTCTTGGGCCCTTCCTTGTCACTAGTATATTTCCGATACAACATAGGCCTACTAGTTAAAAACACACGGTTTTCTCATATAAGCAGGTTTTCTCTGTACCTTACTTCAGTCCACTTACATCACTAAATAAACAGTTTGTTTCCATCTTTTTTTTACCTTGAAATTTGTAAAAAAAATATTCTGTGGGTGTCATTATCAACAGCTTCAATTTATAGGTTAGCGTCAAATATTCCTTTCCTTTTTATTCATTTGAATGGCAAAGTAATTGCATATCTAGAATTTTGAAATACCGGCCATGAGCAAAATAATCTCATACCAAAAGCTTAAAACTGAAAACAAACTGAAAATTAATAAATTTCTTAAAATAAAATGGAATTAAAAACTTGCAACGTTTTGTTAATTGAACTCATCAATATTTTAACTTACCATTATTACATTTTTTATTTATAAAAATATAGGTACCCGCCTAAAAAATGGTTTATCTATCACTTTGCTTGTTTCAGAGAATGTATCGGCCATTGTCGTCACCTGGTCTACCAAGAACTTCACAGAGTCTGTGGTGGAGTACGGGATCAACGGACTGACTCTGCGGGCCACAGGAACTTCTACCAAGTTTGTTGACGACGGCCCTCGTAAATTGTTCCAGTACATTCATCGAGTCACGCTGACTAATCTTCAGCCTAAGTCTCACTATAGTAAGAAACACAGAATCATAGTTTATAAATGTAAATCACAACTAATAATATTTTAGGCCCTATTGTAAGTAATCATAGTAAAAGACAGTTTCTTCATAAAAGAGTGACATAAATATAGAAACATTTAAAAATGGTTATTAAAATTTTGCTTATTTTAGCATAAGGACCATTTAAAAAGTCATTAGAACCTTTAGTAAAGTGTCAACATTTTTTATTGTTATGTAAATGGTTTTATTGTGATAGGGCAGGCCGGTTTTTTACCCAGTCAGCGCCTTAGGCACAACTAATAGTAGCGCCCTTTGCAATATATTGGGGGCCCACTTACCGGGAAAACAGGGAATTATATGCGAGTTATTTAACCGGGAATTATGTGAAAATTTTGTATTTTTATCTGGATTTTTCAATTTACCACGATGGGGCATGACAACAGTGACGTTTTAACATGACCGCTGGAGACAATAACATCTTTGTACATGACAGCGAGGGATGATCAAAATTTTTCCCCGATCCCAGAAGATGGTGATAATGTCTACACGACCACGGAATATGATCATGATTATTTTGCCGCTATCGCGCAAGACAATGATGATGTTGATATCTACAGAGCCGTGAGGGTTGATCAGAATATTGCCATGATCACGGAAGATGATTAAAATAATAATGTCCTAGGACCGCGAGAAACAGTCAAAATTTTACCACGATTGCGGAAGATGACAATGATCTCCATACGACTGAGGGATATGCTTAACATTTTGCCGCAATGGCGGGAGACTATTACGATGTCAACAGAATAGCGCGAGATACAATAATGATGTATACACGGCTCCACTGACTGGCTGTATACAAGATCTTGGCAATGAGAACGCTCAGCCATTATAATGACTGTACAATGTTGTATCTTTGCAGTGTACCACTGTGGCAGTAAGCTGGGCTGGTCAGATATCTTTGTGTTCAACACTGTGCCTGACTCCACTGACTGGTCTCCGAGACTGGCTGTCTACGGAGATCTTGGCAATGAGAACGCTCAGTCACTACCGAGACTGCAACAGGAGGTGGCTCATGGAAAGTACGACATGTTCCTTCACGTTGGGGACTTTGCTTACGATATGTTTGACGTGAGTACGCAGCTAGAAGTAGTGTGTGTTTGTGTTAGATAGGGCCTATACATATTTCTCTCTGGGGAAGTAGCCTACAATTTTTGTTTTTTTGTTTTTGACAATCGAGTCTTGGTACCGATACCAATGTCTAAGTATCGGTGGTATCGATGACGATAATCGACACATCCCTTTTTAGAACTGCATCGTGACGTAATCGATGCATCGGGATTTTGATGCATGCTGGATTGAATCGGGATTTGATGCATCGCACTTGCACACCACTACGGAGCCAATCACCCACACCCAGTCAGTGTCAGCTATCGCTGTCAGTGAAATGGATGACGCAAGCGATGTCTAGGTTGCCGATTATTAGTAGGCCTAGTATGTCAATATTTAAAGGGATTAGGGGATTAAATAAAACTCAGACATTTTCCTTTCTTGTTATTTTGTTGTCAAATATCAATGAAAATAACGAAATCGGCTTGTCTACTACTCAACTCGAGTCACGAGTATCTTTAACTACTCGACTCGACTGTCGAGTATTGCCAACTACTCGAGTAATTACTCGACAGTCGAGTACTAGCCCACCCCTAGTTATTTAGATTGTTAGTATTTAGCTCAACTGCACTCCTTTCATACGTCTAAATGTGTATGTATTCATTGTAATGCAGTACGACAAGTTATATAGTCTATTAATTGTTATAACAGTATTTGTTTGTTGATTTTATATTTTTTGTTGATGATGATGCCCATGTGAATTATTTTGTTTTAAGATACCTATTTTATTTGTCATAGACTTTTTGTTTTGTCTTCATCATTACTCGACCTGGAGAACTAATGATGGTTATGAAGATTTTGTTTTCAGTATAAAGAGTCGAAATGCATAGTCTGTCAGGCTAACAGATAGTGCTGGATATCGCATTTAGGCTCGGGTCAGATTAAATTATCCGAACCAAACCGAATCCGACCCGATTTTTTGTAATCCGCACAATATCCAGTATTAAATTACTTGTTTGAAGTTTATTTTATGAAATCTATTTATTGAAATAAATATTCAAAAGATGTTCTTTTTAGTCTCATTATTGTTGTATCAGACGTAGGATTAATGTGAAATTTATTTGGTTGGTAAAAAAGTAACAAAATTGTAAAAAAATTAAGATGAAACAAGCCTACATTTGATAATGAAGTAGACATTACATTTCCATATAGGGTTGTAGCTTTTTTGAAACCCCAAATTTGGTCCAAGTGGATTAGTAGCACAAATACTGATGCCTATTCTGCTACAATCTGTATAGTCTGTATAAGATTGGAATAAGATTGGAAAGATTATAAAAATGGATCTACTTCAGCACTGAGTCAATGGTACTATCAAATCTAATTAATTTGTTTCACAACAGGACAATGGTGAGATCGGAGACCAGTTTATGAGACAGATTGAGCCTATTGCTGCTTACGTCCCTTACATGGTAGCAGTTGGCAACCATGAGGAGAGATAGTGAGTAGTAGTAAACTCATTCATTTAATAGTATAGTGTAATGTTTGTGTGATGATGTGGAGTAGTATGAGTGTAAATGAAGATACCTGGGCCCTATATATCTTCCTCTAGCCACTGCCAAATCACCCACATTTCCTGTCGTAACCCAACTCTATTGCAAGAATTAATCTAACTCGTCAAAGTGCACAATATTACCTTAGCTGCCTATCACAGCCAGCTTTTATGTTCGTAATGTATCTAATTATAATATAATGAACAGAGAAATATATATATATGGACTTATTCTAATTCGTGAAAAAGGTTACTAGACTTAGCAAATGTGAATTCTAATTTACGATATTAATTGCCAGACCACGACCCTTCGAGAACCTAATAAACTACATGATTGAATTACTTTTTGCCCCAACCTACACCCTTTCCCCAACCCCTACTTCTATTAGCTAGACATCTTAGGCTACAGTCTACTTATCCGATCAGATGTACAGCTCCAGGCGCTCGACACTACACTGAACTCGTCTCTTGGTTCGCTGCGCGTGCCTACCCGGGTCGACTGCGCGCGCATCGTGGTCACGTGACTTGCGCTATTGTAGCGGTCCGCTACATCCTCCCCCCGGTGGGGTTGTTTTTTTTTTCTTTTCCTAGTTTTGGGGTGATTTTGGGGTTTGGGAAAGATGAAGGACGAAGAATTTTTTTTTTTTTTTTTTTTTTTTTTTTTTGTGCTCGCCGTGAGATTGTGTCGTTGTGACATCGGTGTCGGTGTGGGAATGTTCCAACAGTTTTCTGCACTCCTTTTGGTTTGACTCATTTGAGGTTATAATGTGTGTCGGTCTTGCTTATAAACTATTAACTATTTTTTTTTTTTATAAACTAAAGGTGACTATGGTTTTGAATGAATTTCTTATAACTATGTTTGGTGGGATTGCTTAATCTAAACCTGCTCTAAAAAAATGTGGGCGGGCGTATATCAGTGATAGATTTAATTAAGTTCGGTTGAGAAAGATCTGTTGGTTGATGAAGTTGGATATATTATTGATGATGATGAATTTGGGAATGTTGTCGAAATAGTGAGGGTTGATGAAATTTGATGGTTGTATTGAATTCTGGTAATTGCTGGTAAATTTGGAAGGTTGCTGAAGTTTGATGAGTTTCTTGAAGTTGAGTATTTGGAAGAATGAAGTTGTGTAAACTGAAGAATGAAGCTGGAGTAGTGTTCTGAAGTTCTTGAAGGTATACTGTTGTGATGTGATGTGACGTAATTTCGTAATTAGCTCTTGAGCCCTTACTAAATTCGGGGCGCTAATTATATCGCTGGACGCCTCTTAATGGTGGATGAAATGCGTTGGGTTTTGAAGTTGATATGAGGTTGATGATACGTTTACTCAGATGTGAATTTGGAGATTGTTTTGATTGATGATTAATTATTTTGATGTTAGTTATCACTGATATATTCCCTAAATATTCGGTAAAAATTGATCGCGACTACTCTACTTAAGTTTACTATTGATACTTATGATCTAAATGAATTTACTAATAATAAGAAATTGTTCTACTTAATTTAAAAAAAGGAATTTAATTTACTGAGTATAAAAGGGAAAAAATCTAATGTTTATCTACTTAAATGCTATGGATTTGATTGACTGGGAGATATATTACTAAGTTTCTGTTGATTTACTAATAATAAATTAATTAACTAGTGTGACACACATTATACACTCTTTCAGTTTGGATGCTATTCATGGTTGAATGGAGTTTCGAAAATCTGTTGGTTGATGTAAGGAATGATAGTGTTATTGTAAGTGTATATTCATTCGAAGCTCCTCTAGTGCCAATTATCAAGAATTATGCACAGAGGTATTAAATAATAATTATTTATTTCACCGACGGCTTAGCACAATTTAATTTTTTAAACAAATATTGTTTTAATATTTTCCTTCAATGTGAAGGATTGATCGGTGCTTGGTTTGATTATTTATATAGGGCGGAAGTAGAGGTTTGAATGGAACAGATGTTTGTACTGATAACGACGGTGTTATCTCGTGCCTGGCGCTTGCTATTGTCTGTTTCCTACTAGTCCATTTCCTTCTCTGTCGCTCAGCAACATAAATATATTTATCTATATTTTTGTATTTTATTTTAACGCATGCAAGTGTATAACACATAATAAACATTTAAATTACCCTTTATAAATATATAATACATAAACTCTTCTTCTACGCTCAGAATTCTGCTTGTTATTTACAAACATATGGATTGTCGTGTGCGCTGTTATCTACTTTGATAACGATTGTATTACGCCTAAATACCATATATCTTATTTTAATATACGTGGATGACTTTACTTACTTAATACTTTTTATGTAATGTTGTATTTACCTTTGCGATTCAATTGCTTATATTAACACAGAAATACTTAATTTTACTTAATTCTACTTAGTTCTACTTAGCCTAATTGCCATAGTTTAAGTCTAGCTTGGTCTGTAGTCAGTTGTCTGTATCGTTCCAGTGTTGTCATTTTTCAGTCCAGTACTTTTAGTGAGTGTTTGTTGTCATAAGTAAACTGTCGGCTGCACTATTCATATGACAGTTGCAATCTGTCATAAGAATGTGTTATGGCGAACGATTCCCGTCATAGCCAATTTGAGCAAATTAAAAATAAAAAATTACTTAAAAAAAAATTAGTCGTTTGCTCAGATTGTAAGTTTTAAGGGGATTGAAAAAGTTGTTGATTACTGGGGTCTGGAAATGCATATATTAAGTACAAACACTATGACGTGTTTCGCTGCCAACTTGCCACGTGTTGTCGCTTCCGGCTTTCCGGCCAAGCGGTGCATCGAGAGGTGTAGCCGCACCCTCTGTGAAGGTACGGCTTAGACTCAACTCCCAACACCCTATCAGCCGGGGCCGGAGTTGTATTGTGTACCGTATTGTTGAGAAGTATTGTTGCGAAGTATTGTTGTAGTCAGTTACTCGAGATTTCTTGCTAGATGTTCACTTATAACTAATTAAACTAGGCTAAGGTTCTATTGTGCACTCTGACGACGTTTATTTAATAAATTGGTTGAAAAAATCGTTTCAATTGTGAAATGTGGGCTTTTGTCACAATCTTACCTGTTGAGGGGTTTACCAGCTTTACTGACACTGGTGATGAGAAACTGTCAATCACGCACGGTTTTGACCAGGCGTATTGGAGTTTATAATTGACGTTGTCTATTGCTTTGGACTGTGGGTGCATTTTATACATTACCCAATCGCCTACTTTGTAAGGATTGGGTTGACGACCGCTGTTATAATATTGTGTGCGTTTTTCTCTTGCCTTCCGTAGGTTATCAAGTGCATGTTGCCAGCGATTGTCTGTGGTTGGTTGAGGTTCTTCCCCAATTAATTTATTTAAATCCCAGGCTAATTGTAGTGGATGGTTTATTTCTCTCCCCAAAAATAAGCTTGCAGGTGTCGAACCGGTGCTTTCATGTTGAGCGGAATTGAATGCTATTTGAAACCAATGAATGTTTTGATCCCATGTTTGGTTGTCGGAATTGTGATATATTCTCATAGCAACTTTGAGATTTTTGTTGACTCTCTCTACGTTGTTTGCGCTTGGGTTGTACGGTGATGTAAATATGTGTTTGATTCCGAAGTTTAAACACATTTCCTTCATTTGTTTTGATTTGAAAGATGGTGCGTTGTCTGATACTAAGTATTGCGGGAAACCGTAGTGTGAGAATATGTGTTTTGTGAGAAGTGTAGTTGTGGTGGCAGCTGTCGCGTTTCTAGCTGGTAAAAGAATTACAAACTTTGAAAATGCGTCCACCACAGATAGTAGGTATGAGTTGCCTGACTTTGTCCTAGGAAGTTTGCCTACGTAGTCAATGTACACTTTTTGGAATGGTTTTGTTGCTAGATCGGATGATAATTCGCCTACCCTGGTGTTCGGAGCTTGTTTGGATCTTTGGCAAGAGAGACATGTTCTGACTTTGTCGGCTATTATTTTGTTTAAATTTGGTGACCAAAAAAATTGATTTATTTTATGTATAGTTTTCTTGATTCCTAGGTGTGCTGATGTAGGTGCTAAATGGTAGTATGTGAAAATCATGTCAATTAGTTTCGTGGGGAGTACTATTCGTGGTGTCTTTTGGCCGGGTGCTAAATGCATTAACACTCCGTCCTTTACTGTATATGCCTGGTTTCTATGTGGGTCCCTAATAATTTTGATCAACGTGGGGTCGTCTCTTTGATGTTCGTCGATGTTTTTGAAAGCTTCTGGAATTTTCATCAAAATGTTTACTGAATGTGTATTAGTGTCATCGTTTAGTGTTACTACTGTTGGTTGTGTGTCGGCGTCCTCGTATAACCTAGATAGACAGTCGGCGACTGGATTATCACTGCCTTTTATGTGCTCAGAATGAAATTGGAAAGAGTTAATGAATGTTATCCATCGCGCAATTTTACCTACTTGTCGTGGATGATTTAGAAGCCAAGTTAATGCTGAACAATCTGTTTGAAGTGTAAACTCCCTGTGTTCGAGGTATTGTTGGAATTTTGTCAATCCGAACACGACTGCTAGGCATTCTAATTCAACTGTGGATTTGTTTACTTCGTGTTTGCTTAGTGGTCTCGACGCGTAGGCTACTGGTAATAAACTACCTTCGTGTTCCTGTGCTAATTGCGCTCCTAGTCCTGTGCCTGAACCATCTGTTTGTAGGATGAATTTTTTATTGAAATCTGGGAGTCTTAAAACTGGTTGCGACGTTAGAGCTTTTTTAATACTTTGCAAGGCGGCTTCCTGTTCAGAGCCCCATTCAAATGGTGTATCTTTGCGTTTGAGTTTGTTTAATGGTGCCGAAATGTGTGAAAAATTCGGTATGAACCTCGCGTAATACGCTGTCATCCCGATTAGCCTAGAAATCTGTTTGACATTTTTGGGGGTTGGGAAGTTAAGAATTGGTTGAATTTTTTGTGTGTCAAATGTAACTGTGCCGTTGCGAAAAATGTGGCCTAGGAAT